AATTTGTTCCGCTTCACGTTATAACTGAATGTGACTTATGATACAGAACGTATGATACGGAAAGTGATATCACTCTTTAGAATTACATCAATTGGTATAATTTGAGCGGATTGACCGGTGCGCTAGTCACATATCATTGTATAAAATATCGTTGTTGATAAATGTCAAAAAACTTGTTATTAGTTGCCATGGTAACGCAGCCGTCATAAATTCGAATTTAATAAGTTAATAAACATTAGATGCAAACCTTCCAAGTGAGGATAATTTTCAACATGGGAGGATAATTTTCAACATGGTTTCAGTTACTTAATATAAAATAAGAAACATTAAATCTCCAGGTATCCCATTTTTTGCGCTTTAAATTAAAAAAAAATATGTTTTAACGAGACGCAGCTCCCTACAGCACATTACTAATACAGCGCTGTCGGCATAGTGGGCCCTACAGTCAAGATGTAGTGTCCAGGTGGAATTTAACACAGCACGTAATTTAATTGTTCCAGACTACCGGCCTGTGAAACTGCGTAATGTATTCCTTCTATAGCGGCCCTCTAGCACCGAGCGTCTCCGATTGGTTTCAAAGTCAAATCTATTACACGCAACTGATCACAGGTTTTAATCAGTTGAAGTTTCTTTTCCAACGCGAAAAACAAATTTGACTTTAATATTTGTGAGCTGTAATCGACTGTTTATTGAGATAACGGATGATATAAAGGAGTCGCACTCAGGAGGTTATTAGCAATTTTTTTAAAGATCTAAATAAAAAAATACGAAAAGGCTTTAAGCCAAATTAATGATGTTGTGGTTTAGGGATAAGTTAAATTTATTCACATTGTATAAATTTTTTACTAATGATAATAACCATTTCAACTCTACTAGAATTCATATTTGAACACCGTTGTTATAATTTCGAAAACTTGATTATAAAGAAACTATTTCTTTTTCAACAACATAATCTCAATGAAAATACAATTACTCGAATTGTACATTATGAGGAATTAGTGTTTATGTAAATAATTTTACACAATATATACACTTGCGTCAATTATTCATCGATCGATATATGCCATCGGGACGTAAAGTGTTTAGTTGTCGCATTGGTTTCTTATTTTTTATGACAGAACATCGTAAACAATCAAGCGGCTCGCCTAATGATTAAGTGAAATGATAATTAAATGATTAAGTGAAAACCACCCATAGACAAGCTTGCAATTGCGTTGCCAGCCTACAAGATCATGTGCTCCGGTTTCTTCACTCATCTCTCCCAAATTCAAATAAATAAAAATGTATATTTACCGCCTTCTAGGACCCTGGTGGAAAGTACCCATTCCCATTCATGGAACAGAAGATGATAGAGACGATAAACTAAATGAAAACTACAAACAGAACGAATAAACCCAAATATTTACAACGTATCACTATGCACTATGCACATGCGCTTAACATTCAGTCAGACCGCACACCAGGTCCATAACGAGTAATGCCCAATTTACAATTCACGCGGCAGTAATGCGATTTATTTCACCCTTTGTACTTTCGCAGTATGATAGACTGCGTACCACTTGTATAAATGGCAAAAAGCCGCCGAGGATAAATGTTATTTTTAGAATTACTACATAAAACATTTCCAAAGCAGCCTGTGAGAGGTGAAGCAGAGGACCTACGAATGACGGTGACATTTTGACCTTAAAACTGTTTAAATTGCTCGTGACGTCACGACACGTTAAAAATCCACGCATTTTGATTCAATTGGTTTACAAGAGAAAAGCAGAAATATATATATACTTTTGCCACTTTATTGAATGAAAGCAAGAAAAACAAGGCCATTATAAATACGAGGTGTGCCGGAAGCAATTTCTAAATGGATTTCAGACAAATGAAAAAATAGCTGCGTTTCGAAAGATTTTTAAATACATTTCGATGTCCGCCACGGAACGGTTTTTTCAATTTAAATATATTTTCAAATGGATACAATCAAGGAAATTAAAAATTATTTACATGCAATTTTAATATATAAATAGCAAAAAGGACATCTCTCGTTTCAAATATTCATTGTAATATATTATTTGGAAGTTATTTCATCCTGTAAAATAAGCTAACTAAATAGCGCATTGCTAAAAATGCAATAGAGAAAGTAGACGGATGCTGAGATTTGCACCTTGAGGGCAGCCGCCGCATAGTGGTAAAGCATATGGGTTAGTTACCCAGAAGACGCAAATTTTGACCCATTTATCCTCGTAGCATATTTAAAAACTTAATGAGTTTGTAACATTCTTTTCTCGAATATTCCTAGAATACATTATTTGTTTGTCTTACATTTTTAAATGTTTCTTAAACGATCAATATTTATATCTACAACAACTGATCTAAGATATAAGGACGACATTGGGAAAAATGCGCAATTTAGAATTCATGGAACGGTAATTTGATTTATTCAAACCATTATGGCCCGGGCGCCAACGTAACTATTATACCACTGGATGAATAAATGACCGGGACGAAATAGTAGAATTTCAATGTTATCCTTTCGCCTCGCGATTTGTTCGGCTTAAATTTTGAGGGAAACATTTTAGTATAAATATTTCTAAGGTGCGTCGACATCCATTTCGAACGATATAATAATATCTGAAAAGACGTTCAGAATTTTAAGTTATTTACCGAATAATAGTACAAAAAGACTTAAATTTCTAATCATCGTAGAAGTCAACTAATTGGCTGACAAATGGCTTTTCAAATATTGAGAAATGGGCATTTGAGCTGCCAAAAGGATTGTTAAACTCTCTGAATTGATCAGAATGATCTTCTTAATGATCAGAATGAAACAACAGATCTTATTCATCAAAATCCAGTCTAATCCAATGTCTTTTTTATAAAAAACCAGAAAGGATCAATATGACCTAAATATGTATTAGAGAGTAAAGACCAGTATGCTTTACTATGCTTTTACTATCGAGATGCTTGCTTTGGAAAAGAGGGATAACATTATGTATAATTCATACAAAATAATCCCCAAAAATCATATTGACAAGCCAAATTTCTTATGAAAATAACGAGTAATTAATAAACTTGCAATTAAATATTATGAATGAGTTGCTTTCAATTTTTATTTAAATTATAATGAAATATGACTGCTAATATGGCCACTTCATCCTACTGTGAATGATCAATCTGTGAAGCACACATTTCCATTTAATCTTATATATATAAAAATGAATTGCTGTTCGTTAGTCTCGCTAAGACTCGAGAACGGCAGGACCGATTTGGCTAATTTTTGTTTTGAAATATTTGTGCCAGTCCAGGGAAGGTTTAAACGATAAGAAATTATGGAAAAATTGTATGGAAAATCGAAATATCAACAATTTTATGTTCCCATACAAATTGTATCTGCCAACCTGTCAACTATGTCTGTGTGTGTAACCTGTCAAACACTTTATGCGTGCGTTCCGATTCCTCTAGAAGTAATTTATATGGCAAAACAACGTTTGCCGAGTCAGCTAGTCTTATATATAAAAATGGATTGCTGTTCGTTAGTCTCGCTAAAACTCGAGAACGGCTGGACCAATTTGGCTAATTTTGGTTTTGAAATATTTGTGGCAGTCCAGGAACGGTTTAAACGATGAGAAATTATGGAAAAAAAATTGCATAAAAAATCGAAATAGCGACAATTTTATTTTCCCATACAAACTGTACCTGTCAACCTGTCAACTATGTCTGTGTAACCTGTCAAACACTTTATGCGTGCGTTCCGATTCCTCTAGAAATAATTTATATAGGCAAAACAACGTTTGCCGAGTCAGCTAGTAAAGCAATAAATATTTAGTTACCATATTATTTGGCGGTACAATAACGTTGCTAACCAATTTTTATCGTATTATAAATAGTTTCAAATGATTCTACAAACATTTTTACGTCGAGCGATATCAAAATTTAAGCATTAGATGAAAAATATCAATAGATAATAAAATTTCCTAAATAAAATAAGATAGCAGAACAAAAAAAAAGAAGTTTTTTGAAGTCAGTTCTTATTTTTGAAAAATTTTTTTATTATTAAATCAGTAATAAAAATTTGCGGAATTACATAATTTTTTCCTTTCTGGCACTGTGCAAGGGAGGTGCATCAAGTTCCACTCGCGTGTCTTTCTATGTTATTATTGACCCTCCTCTATAATACTTTACAACAATTTTACACTATTTTTTAACTGTGGCAGGGCCCCGCAACACTATTCGTTGTTACACGAATGGGCAGGTCCGTCCAGGCTAGTACCACGACCTCACAGAAAACCGGCGTAAAATAGAAGTGTTACACTAGCTAGTTACGGTAGCCGGGACCCACATTATTAAAAGGTGGCAAAACATCTGCAACCGGTGTTGCAAATGTTCGTTTGCGGCGGTTATCACTTAACATCAGGTGAACCGCCAGCTCGTTTGCCACTTTTTCACATAAAAAAAAACTCTGCATTCTCTGAATCATTTTCGTAATTTTACTGCTTTGCGATCTCGTATTTTGTCTCTCGCATTTGCTGCAGTCTGCCGGTTTGATTTAACAATGCTATTAATTACAGACTTGGGAACGCAAAACGTTTGAACCACTTGTTTTAATTGTAAACCGTCACCGATTAATGATCAGCTCTTAAGACGTCGAACTGCGCTCCTGCATTCTTACTGAATTTATCGAAGTAATGCATATGGGTACAATACTTATGTTTTTAGTAAAAAATTAAATACTGGACTGACTTGTTTTTAACAATCGACGTTTTTAGGGTTCCGTACATCAAAAGGTAAAAAATTAACCCTTATAAGATTCCGTCTGTCTGTCCATGTGTCACTGATTTTCCGGGAACAGGCAGACCTAACAAGTTGAAATTTATGCCGTATACTGAGGTCTATAGTTCCTATTAGATGTATAAAATTCAAGGTCTTAGTGAAATTTTAATTTTCGCGAAAACTTGCAAGTTCTATAGAGCCAGAGAGGTGGCATTCCGCGAATGCCACTACTGTGGCGTATGTGCCGAGGAGTGCCCAGCCTGGACGGAGCAGCAGCTGCCCGCCGTGGTTCGTGCTATGGTTGACAGCGAGAGGGCGTGGGATGCTGTCCTCGCATGCGACAGAGACAGGTGCAACGTCGGTTTTTTAGTGAGTTCCCGTTTCCGGGACTCCAACATACCCCTGCCACTCCCCCGATCCAGAGGCAGGGGATAAAGGATTTTTCCTACGAAAAAAAAAGATGTAACAAACTGATGGTATGAAGGCCGTATAGGAGCGGGCAATTCACATACACAATAATTTCCAATTTTATTTCGATGAGTCTCATAACATGATATTTCGTGCACGTATGAAACGGGAAATGATCGAGCCGAGCCCCTTTCGATGGAGCTCTCTAATTTTATATTCGATTTTGATTACACGGCTCGTTTGTTGGGACAATTATTCAGACGTATTAAATGCTGTTTATACCTTCAAAAAACCCTTTTTTGAAGGTATAAACAGCATTTAATACGCTGAAGATCAACATGATAATAATTGATAGTTTTGTATAATATTTATGCATTCAACATGCGTCTTACAATAAATAAATAAATTTTTTTTTGGAAAATATCTCTGTCTTGTTGACATTAAAAGGTCGTGCTATGAATCTTTATTCCGTTATTTTATATTCTTAGTTTTGTCCTGTACGTGATGTGGTTAGCTTAGTTCACTGCAATATAAACTTAAAGGATATAGGTATAATCATATTTGACTAATGTAATTCTAAGTACAAATATCTACTATTTTATTGGATTAAATATACATCTATTTGTATATTTTAGCGGTCTAGGTTTCATGTATATGTCGAATCTAATTTAAAAAGAAATGAAAAGAAAATTAATAACTGTCATTTGATAATAAAGAGATGATATAATAGAACGGACAGTTTGAAACCCTGAGCGACCCCACCGTGCAGCGCGCCGGCCATTGTCCGCGCGGCTCCCGGCGCAAAAGGAATATAGTTACGCGGGCCGCCAGCCTGGAACAATTGAATTATGCTCAGCTATTAAGCCCTTCGTGGCGAGCAGGAGCTTTGTGCCTACGCCGATCGTCGCCTGCCGGTATCGAGATATATACGGTGGGCAATATAAAGCCGCCGATGTATCGGGATTACCGCGGCAATTACGCTCTTGAAACGCTCCGGAACTCTAAACGGTCGCGCGTCGAACGGCGATACAAACGGGGCAATCCTATACTTTATACGATAGCAGTTGAGGTTTTCAGTTCTTTAATTTTAGTTATAGTATTTTTATTCGTAAAATTCAATTGTATATATTACTTCTTGCTTTGCAATCCGATTTTTTTTTGTTGTAAATTGTCACCTGCCAATAGCACGGCACCCGAGCAATAATATATCTCATCGAATTCATACAAAATTTCTCACATTACGTGCTATACGCGATGTCGATTTCTTTTTAAAGTAAGTTTTACTCGTGCTGATAACTACTTAGGTTGGTTCAACAAAATTTATTACATACATATTTTATACTTTTTCAAAGCAACGACCTGCGCCCTGTGTCGTTTAAAAATCGAGGAGAAAAATTACTCGCAAACTCAGAAATGACATTTATTCGATAATAATACACGTTAGATAGCAGCTATCCCTGCAGTAAAAAAATATTAGATTGTATTATAAAGGACTAGTGCGACATTATAGCACAATACCGTGTTTAGTCACCAAATGATAATAAAATAATATGCAAATAATTATTTATGAATTAAATGTATTTTATTTTAAAAAAAAACGTTAAAATTCAATCTACCTCGCTATTTTTCATTTCAACAAATTGTCAATAGATGGCATTAAGGAACATTCTTCTTAAGATTTTAAACGTGTTTTTTAATGAAATCATTAAATTTATTCTATTTACAAATAGGCTTTAAATGGTGTTTGAATCATTAAATTTGATGACGAATTATGAAATCAATCCGACAAAAAACTTCAATTACAAGTAATGTATGGAGATAGTTATGTGGCTCCGTATAGTTTTATATATTCTGCTCGTCACGCCGGCACAAATAATGGCAAAACAAAAGAGCAGTTCATTGTCCTAAGCGCCCGTTCGATTGCACCCCCGTTTCATTGATGAGCTTCAGACGGTGCTCGACGCCCTTTGCGCATTATCCTGTGCCGATGCCGGGGGCACCTCTCGCCCGCAGAACTTCCGTATACCGCTGCATATAGTTACTGCCGAAACCGTGCTCATTACTAAGCACGTCAAGATCGCTTTTTATTGTCAAAAGCTCATTACGACTAAGATAGGCATTGCCTTTCGCTTTGTGTCGTCAAAAATATCGATCGATACTTTTCTCATCGATAACTTCGTCACTCTGCGTTCAATGAAGATTTAATAGTTTACGGACTGAATGCAAAATCATCGGTCAAAGTAAAGTACAGCATTGATCTTTGAAGTTATACTTCATTTGGCGCGTTTGGAAAAATTATAAGAGTAAAATTTTTACGATGCGCGCGCACACCCACGGTCAAAGAAGACATGATGAAGACCATCTTCATTATCTTCAAGGCATGGCAACTGATAACAACTTGCTGACATTTACGTAAAATTCCGGGTTACTTAAATATACTTAATTTAACCGTTATCAATTGCAATTTTTCTTTTTCACAAACAAAGAGTAGTAGCACATGGAATAGAACTGTTAGTTACTTTTTTTGTTACGCTTAAGAAGTATAACTTCTTACAAGCGTGAACAAGTACAGACATATTTTTTTTGTATATACTCGAATACTATATATTAAATGAAACTATTTAACGAATTAAAATTTTTTAACGAAAAGTTTTTCGGCGCTGCGGGAATCGCACCCACGTCTTCCGGATTAGCTTTTCGTCTATTTCTACAAATTTTAATGTTTCATCTCAAATCCTGAAATTAGCACTATAAAAATTTATGTTCTACGGATTTAATTTCAGTTTATTTTTATTTTAAAATCCTGACGTTTCGAACAGTTTACAAAGGTAACCATGAACTGATTGATAACGTAAAGTAATTATCGGTAATAAAAAAAATAATCACATCACGTTGTGTGTACACTGATCCTTTGCAAATTCAAAACCAGATAGCTAGGTAAAATATAACAACTCACACAAAAGGAAATATCGCGCGAGTTTCGGGAAACTATGACGACAGTCGCGCGGTATCCCTGTAATGAGAGATGCGCACCATTAAGACGTACAATAGAGTCATCCCAGAGACAGCCTTACGTACCTATATCCGTATACCAAAGGAATTTCTTATTTTCTGGCCCATTGTTCACTGCGAAATATCACTGGAACAATATTCGATAGACGGCGAGGATGTCCAAGAGGAAAATATTTATATATGGACTATTTCTTTACGCCAGCACATTTATCTTCTTATTTAAGGCGCACGGATCCAAGGCTAATAATAAATATTAACGAATAAATAATTCTTTCAAAAATGTACCTGTTTTTTATTTTGAAAAATGAAGTGATAAGGTCAAACACCTTTGTATATGGTCAAAAACCTTATTTCCATAATACTTCAGTATTTGAAATATCCAGTATTAAAATGTAAAGTTATAAAAAAAAAATCACTTACCGTAAGAGTGCTGTAATAACTAGACCGAGAGTGACAGAGCGTGCACATCAATTCAACTTTCGAAGAATTGCTTAAGCCACAAATTCAGCCCCAGGAACTTTCACTTATAAGTAGGAAAATCTGTTAGACTTACAAGCCTGTCGCCAAACAGCGTTTAAAAGATAATTATTTTAAAGAAGAATTTTGTTGAACATTAAACACTTACGCACCATAAATCGTACAGACCTGACTGAATGAAATAATTTGATTAAATATAAAATAAAACCGTTTAAAAACTTTTAAGTTAAACGGTTTTATTTTATGTTTTTTTTTGTGCACTGAAAACTACAATATTGTATTGTCATCTAAATTAAATGTGTGTACCAAATTTCAGATCAATCTGACAACGGGAAGGTGCTTAAATTTCAATTTCTAATTTTGACCCAAATAAATAAACAAATTCCGTACGTGTCGACCTAAATAAAACCGTTTAAAAATATTTTAATTAAATACGTATAAAAACTGTTCCATTTTAGAACTATGATAAACGATCATATGAATTCAAGCGTAATTTATTAACCCAATGGAGTGTATATTTTTTAAATATCTGTATTCAACATTAAGTGTGATAGAAATTATTATATATTGAATTATGTAATATATCATATTAATTAATTATTTAGGAGCATAAAAAAATAGTCTTGAATATTGACTTTGCAAAAGTCTTATTTCCTTAATAGGATACGCGGCATAAGTCAATTATTTGATAAGTCCCGTCACCCTTCATTGCCGTCTGTTAGCGCTTGTTGTCATACCCGTTTCCATGGCAACACCTCAATAAGAAATTCTCAACCGTACCGCAAATATAATTACTTCCACCCAGGTACTCTATTATTACATGTTACCCGCTGCTACAGTTTATCTTTCGTAACTTGGCATTAAAATTGCTTATTGTATTTGTTTTTTACTATAAGAAAATAGAATTAAAAATACTGAAACATTTCTTTATGTGGTAAGGTGCAAACATGTGAGAAGGCGGATCACCTGACGTAGAGCGGTTAAAGATATCCACCCTTAAAAAGCGAGCCGTTAACATCTACGTCTACTATAATTCCCCCGGACAAGCTTGCCTAAAATAATAACAGCAAATCAGTTCAGTTAATTATTATTAACAGTTTCAATTACTATAATTTCGAATAAATTCGTATAATTATAAATATGTAATTCATATAATTTGATAATGTTAAAATAATAATGTTTGCCCAAATGAATTCTCTGAGCGAAAGTGAAATGAACAACAAATAGACGGCCATTATAACTGTCTAAATATCGGTGCTATTTATATCTAGGTTCTCTAGCATTTAGTTCGTTCCATTCTTTTTTTATCTATGAAAAAAAGAAGTATACAATATCCTACTGCTGGTCAAAGGCCTCTTCTGTACCTACAGTGTGTAAGGTAACAGTCAACCACCCAACTGCAGATTGGCAGACTTCACATGCCTTAGATTTTTTTTTCAATTATTTCGAAAATATGCAGGTTTCTTTATCATGTTTTCCTTCACCGATGTTAAAATTGTCATTAGCTATTTTTTGTTCTCGACACGAAATTTGAACTCAGTTTACTTGAGTATATTGGATTAAAAGCGAGCTCCCGGATACTGAGCTATGATGGCACTATATGTGTATAGTGCAAATTTATGTATAAAATCTGACTAAACCACTACGCTGCTGACCTTTTTGTACTAAAATAATACCGTTATCTAAGAGTGTTTGAAAATAACGAATATTATTGTTATCTTTTCTGCACAAAATCGAATACGATTAAAAAGATCACAAAAGCATATTACATGTATATGTGTAAGACACAATGACATGTTCAATAACGTGTATGTTATATAAAAAATATCGCAAGACCGGCGTCGTTTCATCTAAATTTATCAGACAGAAAGGACATCGTATAATAATCCCTGCGGAATTGGCGGCTCTTTACCCCGGGATGATATATTTCCTGAGAGCCCCGGACCGTCGTTGGCGGAATGTACGCCGAAACGGCACCGGGCCTTTGTGGTCGGATTGCAGTGGGCGCGGAATTGAGTTATGCCGGTGTCGGACGTCCGCGCTGCGACCCTTAGTCGCGTCATCAACCTACAAATTGGCAGTTTAGCCGACGGCCCGCCGCGGGCGATGGACGCGGCAGCCATCTCGAAAAATACAAAAGCTATCGCCGCGAAACGCCCCGAGAATGGGAATGACGAGGTGTATTCGAAATTTAAAGCACGAAGGAAACGGCGGCCGATCTAAACTGGAAGTTTACGGAATCGTTACGTATTAGGGTAATATATTTTTTAAAGGTATTGTCAAAGCCTTCTTTCGTTTTTTCTTATGAAATTAATTTATTGGTCATTAAAAGTATAAATTGATCAGTAATGTACAGTGATGTAAAAGATAATCGAATCTAGGTACATATAAAAACAAAGAAGACAGTATTTTTGACAAGGGGATCATCGTCTTCATTTTGTACACAATGTATAATATTGATAATTTGAATTAAAAAAACAAATATTGATTCATATTGGCAAAAAGAATAAAAATAAATTGCTTAATACATTTTTTTATAATTAATGGTTGTTCTGTTAACTTGATAAAGTTGATAATTTACAAGAGACGATAATCAAGGTAGAACGGTGTAGTCGAGCAGTAGAGACGAATGAGACGTAATGAAGCCATCCAGCACCGAGGCTAGATCCAGAGTTAATTAAATTCTGACCCTAGATCCGACACCGCATCCGGGATGTGTACGCAAAATGTCAATTAAACTCAATTATTATTTAACATGAACGCTGTATGCAGAGGATAAACGCCATGGCAATTTATATATTACCTTGTATACGTAAACAAGTTTATATTCAATTATATTTATTGGAATTGAGTGTTAACCTTCTTGAGATTTCTTATAAAAGCGTAATTGTGTATTATAAAAAAATATCTCCACAAATTTAATACATTTAATAAGCTCTGAATATAATAGAAAGAATTAGTGTTTTTTTTACATAAATTAAATAATTTGGGGCGATCCACGGGATATAAATCAGTTCAACAATACTCCAAGTATTAAAATGTTTATTAATACCATAGGTGAATATATAAAAATAAGATTTTTATTTAAACGGCACTTAAAATTTCTTATATCTTCAATTCCATAGCAAATTGTTTTTATAACACTCGAAAAATGTTACCCCGACGGTGCATGTAACAAAGTATCATCACATATTGGTAGAGTAGCCATCATAAATCAATTTTACAGGGCGGAACCCCAACACAAACAAACTTAAACGGGTAAACAATATGATGAACTATCTTCCGAGAAAACTGCGGTCCGTCGTCAGTTGTCCGTTTTATTGATTTAGGAAAAATATAATTTTAGCACTGCTGTACTGATTTATAATTTTTATATATTTTATTACAATTAGTAAAAAATGAAAAGCATATTTATAGATTAACAATTATTTACAGGAGAAAGTTGCGAATTGGATACTCCTAACTAGGTCATTACATAAGCTGTACTCACGAAACTCAGTCCTAGCCCTCCTGATTTATGACATCATTATTTGTAGTAAAACATTGGTAGTATAAAGATCCAAGATATTTATTACAAGATAATGTAAAATTGTGTCAAAAACTGTTTATTCATATATATATTAAGGCTAACATTGACATACATTGGCATGACATAGGTTTAACTGAATCATAAAGTTGTAACAATATATGTAGGTACGTATTTAAATTACAGGTAAACTCAACACTATAAAAATAAAAAAACTATAAGTAGAGAACAGAAACTTACTTAACTATTAAATTATCTTTTATCTCTTAGAAAAAATTAGAAAATTATAAATTACTACTTAGCTAGTTAAACTTGTTTATGATTTGAAACTTTAACTGTTTAGAAAATTGTATTTTTAAATCCGTTAACAAGCGCATTCTACACGAATGGGCCAGCAGTGGAAGTGGTGCTTACTGAGCTTACAGAGCTTGTATCGTCCGGTCTTCAACGCAACTTCAATCCCTCAAGAGTTGGGAATTGCCATGGAGATGGAAAGTAGTCTCATGACATAGCGTACAGGTTTGTCACCTTCTTTTTTAAAAAGGAGTTCCCAAAAGTGGCAAATTACTCTCCCTAAACTTTCTCATGGAAAAATTTTTTTGCCTTCAATCTGTCTATAGTGTTACAGATATAATAAATCTCTTTTTTTTCGCGGTCATGAACATTTAAGTTATGAAAATATCCCAGAAGTGTGTTTGAGACAGATGTTCCGTTCAATCTTATTAGTAAATCTCTCTAAAGCGGCAATCCTCGCGTCGTATTCATAGTCCAGACTAAATCCAATTAAAGCGAAGAGCATCAACTCCCGAGCTCGGGACGCGGAATTAAAGCTTGCTGACTAAAAGTGACATGCTAATGCCCAGGAAAGACTTTGCTGTCAACGATTATTTCGAATGGCCTTTCACATAACCTCTTTTTCGGTTTGATTTTAAAAGATGGTAATAAACGTAGGATCAACTTTGATATTTTCGTTAATAGAAATAGTTTTTTTATCAAAGTTTTAAGTAATGATATAAAAATTTTACCATTATATTAATATAAAAAAGATTATTAAATACTTTTCTAAGGAATGTCTTAACGCAATTATATCCTAATTACCAACAATGAGAATAAATTATTAAACGAAGCAAAAAAGCCCCACTAAGGCAAAAATTCTTACAAAATTATTATTTCACCATTTTACTTTTTTTCGCGGATATCGTATTAATATGACATACCGCATATCATGCCTACAGCTGAGACAAGTTTAATGATATTTCATATGTCGAAATCTGTAAAAGTAGAAGTTTCACGCTGTAGAGCGAAAAATTAGAAATACACATATCCGCTCGAAATATGATACCTCCTTCGGTGGTCGGGTATATGAAATATAACCATATCTAGTACATCTATGAATAATTCTCGTAGTCCAGACTAAACGGAGAAGCAACGGGCACAAACGCCAACAGTCAAGTGGCGTAGAGTGGTAGGACGTGCCTATCGACTTGACAGCCTTGTAATCCGCATTGGAAGCCGAATGGAAAATAAAAATGATTTCAATTTACAACAAGCTATGAATATGGACGTGCTTTTTAAAAGGATTTGTGAGTCTATTTTTTATATGATGGTGAACCAATAGAATAAAAATTTTCCGCAAATACAGTAAAGTTTAAAGTTTTTAAATATAAAAATTATATTCGTACTTCATCATCATCATTTTATATATTCATAGGCATCCACCGCAGACTGCTAAGACCCTAAGCCACCTGGATCGATCGACTTCCTGCACATTTGCTCAAGTCGTTACGCTAACGACTAGGGGGTCATCCTATACTGCGATGACAAGCACGACTCTCCCACTGGAGAAGCTACTATCAGTATCGACTATCAGTTCTACGAGCTATTTGGGGCTGACTCCTTTTCAGCTTACCAATCTTCTGAGTAATTTCGGTTATCTTTGTTCCACTGTTGATATGTACATTGCGAACTCTATCACTCAAAGAAACACAGAGCATAGTCTTCTTCATAGCTCGCTGAGCAACTTCAAGTTTCCTCATGGGGTGAACGACCGCGTCTCAGTTCCTTAGGTCGCCACTGGCAACACACATTGATTGAATATTTTCGCCCTGCAACATTGAAGGATCAACGCGGAAGCTTCCGAAACGGTGCCCGTCTGTACACATTACGTAAGATTTACAGGATTTCATGTCCAATTTACTGAAGAATATGAATTTGTACGTGAATGGATACGTACTTGATGAATGGATTTCTAGCTCGTGAAATGCTTATGAACTAGACATTTGAATGAATGATAGAACCAAATTAACGTCACTTCTAGTTTTGAAAAGTAAATTAACTCTAGTAAAAAGAATACCCTTTTATTAGAGTTCCTTTATTTTTGATATTTATAGCCCAGTTCATGACCCTTATATATATAATTTTTGAGTTTAACCAAGTAAAGTAATATTTATTTTATTTTTAACATACTATAAATTGATAAACTTATATATTATAGGTACTTATAATTAAGAAAGTGTAGTGCACATGATTTATATATACATATTATACATAGGCATAGATATATATATATATATATATATATACATAGATACATAGATATTATACATAGGTGTCATATTAGTAAGGATGAAGTACATCGATGTAACTATTCACGAGAACTGCTGCCGACAAACTGCATCACAGTTTGGCAGAGAATAATTTATATTATTGTACTTTATTACTGGATTAAATAAATTAAAAAAAAAATCAAACCAAACGTGAGCATCTTCCACCACACTGGATTACGCATCGCGGGCAATATATCGCGTCATTTGCTTTGAAAGGCGAAGCAATTACAGACGAAATAAACTCTTGGCAAGGATGCGTAGTAATTGGAAGGCCCTCGATCATCCACAGGGCGCGGTGTGATGGATCGATTCGCGTAAAAAGGTGTCGAGGCGCGCCGGACCACAAGCACCGTTGAATATTAAACGGGTACGGCCTCGAGTGATTTCGTCTGGAAGCGATGAATACGAAACTTTGGCTTTGTGGATGATCTGAAACCGTTCATATACATTATATCTATTATGTATTTCTTCAAATATATAAATACTATTACGCGTAAAATGTGCTATTATTTTTCCTAAGTGTATGTTCTAATTATTTAAGTTAAATATTTAGCCAAATAGTTGGTAGCGTAATTTAATAATCATAATCTAGCATTATCATAATGAAAATATCGCTATCATTATCTGTAACTGTACAATAAATGATACAAACTAAAACTTATTACCTGACATTGCTTTCTGTCATGATACTCGTAATATTCAAAATAACACCAAATAATATGCACTTAAAAATTACATCTCTATTCTGGGTATTTCGAAACAAAAAATATTATTACGAAACCGATTATTCATACATGAAACAACGTTTATTCCTCTCTTCTCATTTGCATTCGAGTGCAGAGTATCGGCAATAAAGCATAGACATAAGTTTGTACTCCATTAGGCATTTCGAACTGGCAACATTGAAACGCTTTTAAATCCATTAAACAATGGCGCGGTTCGTCAAGGGGTGGACAAGGAGAGTCGAGAGCGATGTCCCCGTGTCCGGAACTCTATCATTAGTGTGCTCACCCGAGTTGAAAGCGATTTCTCCCTCGGCGGACGCGTCTCTTTGAGGCAGGCGCAATATTGTCGAAAGCGGGAAAACTCCTTTAGGGAAAAAAAATATCGCCCGACTTGCACGAAGGAAGCGAGCACGAGCGCCGGAAACCAATCGAGTGCCAGCAGCCAATATGGCTCCGCGTTTACGTTTACGTTAACGCTGACTTCGCCCCGGGAAGCGCTGCGGCCCTGAAACGAAAACACGAGCCGCGAGATTTACAGACTTCCACCGCCCGCGGCCGTGAATGCGCGGCGCACGAAACAACTTCGTTACAACTCGACGCCGTTTCGTTTCGGGCCCGCGATATTAGTTTTGGCCAAAAGGCTATTTTTCATACCGCCGCTGGCGGCTGGAAGCCTTCGGAAGTTTTCTAATTCAACAAAAGCAAATTCAATGTCGGATAGAAACGTCGGGCTTACAATAAAGTTTGCAATCTTCGCTTAATTATCATCTATCAATGATTAATATTATGATAAAACTAGTATTTTTAATTGAAGTTGAACGGGCTTCAAATTCAAGTAGCCAATAAAAGTTCATGTGTGTTTGAGAAATTGTAAAAGGACTGATTGTGTATAAAATTTAAAATAAATCTTGAAAGGTTGGACAACATATTAATGCTTAGCTATATGGATGCGGTATAGACTGAGAGAGTTGTGTCAGGATAAAAGAATGTGGAAATCCATAATAACCTCTGTAGAATAACCCTCGACACATAGGACAGAATTAATGTTTTTATAAAAATTATATAAAATCTCCTATTTTGTTTCACCCTTCAAACTAAATAATGTGGCTTTATTCGTTCCCGTTGGAATTTTGGAATAGAAAGTATATAAAAACAATTTCCAATAGCTAAGTTGGAAACAAATATCTAGTCAATCCACAAGCTACTTTTTAGGGTTCCATACCCTGGGTAAACTGGACCCTATTACCAAGACTCCTCTATCAGTCTGACTATCCGTCTCTCACCAGACTGTATCTCATAAACCGTGACACTTAGACAGTTGAAATTTTCACAGATTATGTATTTAGGTTCCCGCTATAAAAACAAATACTAAAAACATTAAGAGTTAATTTATATATAAATATTAAGTGGGGCTCCCAGACATGATTTTATTTGCCATTTTTATAGATGGTACGGAACCCTCCGTCGCGAGTCCGACTCGCACTTGGCCGGTTTTTGAATTTGTGGCGCAAACATACGGAAGCTCAATTTATATAAAGATAATTTAAAAACAGAAAATTATTAACTATGTCACCTCGTGATATAATGGAGTTCGAGGAAGGTATAATACAGATTTATAACAAAATACGTAATATTATTTAACTATATCTAAATTATTAATTTAAATTTTTATAGACTATTTTAATCTTAAGTGCAGAGATAAGCACTATAAAAAAATTAAATTTCTAAAAAGCAATGGCTACATCTCTCGTTCGAATTGTCGTTGTAAAACGATATTCGAAATTATTTGTATGCTGGAGAGGATACAACAATGGATGCGCCAAGCATTGCTTCAAATACTAAAAAACAATGTAGATAAAAGACGTTAAGATTTTCGTCAGTGTGGCAATCTTAGTGGCTAAAGCGTCAGGCCGCGAATGCCGAAGACTTGGATTCGATTCCCAGAGCGGTGACAATTTTTTCGTACTTTTTCTACAAATTTTAATATACCTTAACCTTTTTAAAAGTAAACATCTAAACGCAAGTACACATGCTCCGCAACCGTTTCTTTCAGAATATTTTTGATCACTACATTTAAAAACTCTCTTGATTTCTTTCGCAGGTACTAATGTTCCCCGAAGAGGGCTGGGCGCGTAGTGCCTCTTCTTCCTACTGGACACTGCAGCCGTGCTGGTGGCGTAGGTCTCGCTGCAAAGTCGTCGAAGTAGCCGGAACGAAAAGGTAACATTTCTTAATATCACACTCGTAATAATATCTTAATAACGGTTAAATGTTAACCTGTGAATAAATGTTATGTCACTATTATGTCATTATACTAATGAAAGCCTTTGCTTTAAGCTAGATCAGAGAGATGACCTACGAAAAAATTAGATTCTGATTCTTAAATTCATATACTGTATTACTTTAATCTTCCACCGTCATTTTCAACAAAATTTATATTACAAGATCGCACGATAGAGGATGTCTATTGCCTAAATCCGTGCAAGTGACTACATTTCACATTATTTCGTATATACATATATATAATAAATATAATAAACAATAATTATATACGGGAATATGTACTCCCGTACAAAACATAAATTAATATTGGTCTGGTATCCTCGTTAACTATACCGATAACACACCTACTATTTTGCGTCAGGGGTTGAGTGACACTTTCAAAGTGCCTTTGTTTGGCGATTGGGCGAATCCAGAATATCGATTGTTGTATATTCAAGTTTGTTAAAAAATGTATGTAATAAGTAATACTTCTTTAGCGTAACAATACAAAGTAACTAAGATTTTATCCCCCGTGCCAGAACTCTGTTTGAGAAAAAGACATAAACGCATGGTTTCTAAAACACTGATCATCGTAGAAGTCAACTAATCAGCTGTCAAATGGATTTTCAAATGTTATTTTAGTTGAAAATGCAGTTCTCTAAGTAATCAATGATATTATTTGATGTTTTTAAGAAATAAAAACAAACAAAACACTTACTTAACATTACTCCATAAACCCATAGCATTTCTAATTAGAACTTTCCTTTACTTTAGAACATACATTAAATTTGTAATGTTTTTGTTTTGTTAATTAACGTCGTCCATTAAAGAAATGCTTAATCTTTTAATGGTAATTATCTGCTTAACGAGCGTCCTATAAAACATATTCCCATTTTAAAATGTATAAAAACAAGGAGAAAACGTTCGTAAGCATCTCAAAAGGAAACAGTTTATCATCCAGGAGGAGCGTTAGCCGTGTTGTTCGTAATTAACCAACGCCTGGTTCAGGTGAGCGTTTCCTAGTTTGACAAACGGCCGGAGGTCGTGGAGGGCGTTGCGATCGCGCGATCGCAGTGCTGCCAACGAGGCGTGGGGCTCGGTGGCAAACGCGCCATAAATAAACATGGCGGATTTACGTTAAGACTCGACGGCGCCTAGCTGCTTATTGGACTAGCCTTATCGTTCATTTAATTAATTTTATAAGCTATTAGAACGTGTACATAACGAAAGTATTTCCAAATTAAGGTTAGTAGTAATAAAATGTAAGAAAAAACAATCTGCGAGAGGCAAAATACAAACGAATAAAGCAACTCATAGGAAATAAATGTATAGAGCTAAAACCCTTAAGAAAATTGGCCATATTTTTGAAATGCATTTTAAATTTTTAAAATGCAGGAAGTCGAATAAAAGAGTAGATTATACATACGTAAGGTAAAAGCCATGATGGCTCAGGATCGTACTTCATGGCAGTCTGTGGGGGAGGCCTATGTTCAGCAGTGGACTCAAACAGGCTGAAATGATGATGATGATGATGAAGGTAAAAGCCAGTAATTCTGAAAGCAGTTTGAAATAATCTCAATTAATTTAGTAATAACTGTATACATAAATAAGAATTAAAAATAAGCCATCACATTACAAAAAAAGAGTAGATAGGGACAGCTATTGCCTTCCACGCTTATATATGAAAAATGTGGCAGAATTCCCGTCAAACATTTTATATCTACAATGAATGTTACTAGTGACAAATCTTAAAAACAGAAATATCGTTTGTGCCTGTCTCTACCCAGTCACTAGGTATTCATTACTTATAAGGAGAGAACTCATAAATTTCATTAATAATTATATTTGAAATTTCGATGTGTTTTCTGTAACTGCCTGATAAGTGAAATCTGGAAAGGAGGATATCCTCCTTTCCAGATTTCACTTATCAGACTATGCGTTCAAATTATTAAAAAAAAAGCGATTAAGTAGTAATAGTTCATAGAAGTTAATGTAAATGCGCAAGATTTTCACAGGGTTAGTACATTTTTATTCATACACACTCCTTTACTAAATATTACAATAGTTAAAACGTTAGCAAGATTGATATTTTGTGGGTCGAGTTCGTAACAGAGTGTAAAGCCCATGTAGACATGTCCTATAAAACTTTTATATTTGTATCCATTTCTGTATATAAAAAACACAAACACTCACGCAAAATTTAAATTCTATTTTAAATAAATATTTTATTTTATTTTATTAAATCTAGAATTACATAGTTTAACTATTTAGAGTGGAGACCTGATGACTATTATATATACACTAACATGTGCATGTAATAACTTCTTGTATGAAAATCATTTATTCATTTTTTTTATTTTAATATAAAATAGATTACGTACACCGATAGTAAAGTATAAACATAATAAGTCTATTTGAAAGCACTTGTGCGCCTAAATATAAAAGCTCTTTCAGACACTAAACGCCGTTAAGGAGATGGTGAATATTTCGAAAGGGCCCATAAACATTTTTAATTTGTTCGTGTGAACTGTTTGCGGGCAACGGCGAGATGTTTGGCGCTATTAAAGAGCGAGCCGCCATTACATAGGCCGTTAGGGCTGGGCCGTTACGTGTGGGATCCGCGCGTTGGATGCTCTACGTGCCACGAATTTCGAGGAGCCACTGAGCCAACTAACTCGCTACATCACTAGAGTTCCATCATTTGCGAAAGTTTTGTAAACGATGGAATGATTTCATCCATATTAGACACCGTGTTTCTGATATCTAGACACCTTTTAATAATACGTAATAAATAAAATTATTCGTTTGTTTAACACATTTATTAAATGTAGTAAAATCTACATATAGACTCTATGTAAAAACTACTTTAATACCATCGAATGACGGAGGCAATTAATACTATCCACGAGTTAAGGCCCAAAACGAGACAAGCGCTGAGCTCAACAACCACTTGAACAAATGTGTGATGTGTGTCGTGATATTTTTTTATGTGAGAAAGCGGCAAACGAGCTGGTGGTTTAACTGATGTTAAGTGATAACCGCCTGCCCATGGACATTTGCAACACCCGTAGGATTGCAGTAGCGTTGCCACTTCTTAATAATGTGGGCCCCGGCAATCTTACTCACGAGACGAAACGCAGATGTGTAACACTTCTACTTTACGCCGGTCTTCTGTGAGGTCCTGGTACTAACCCGGACGGACCTGCCCATTCGTGCAACAGTGAACACTGTTGCGTGGCCCTACCACCGGTAAAATTGATTGATTTTATCATGTAAAAATCTCGAAATGTCGTTCCCCAAATATACCCTATTTTCCTAGGGACACTGATGCTCCCAGGTGGCATGCATGGCGGTGTCGGCCGCTCAATACGGAACTGGTGAGGGTTGCTATGCCATTTCACCGGCATAGCAAAATATGGCCCAGTTGGGTATCCTAGCATCCAGAGAGAAGAAGCAGATCAAATTAAATCAAATTCCTAATCCCGGCAGAACGGGTATTTAAAATTACCCGGGACTCCCATACTCCGATCCGATGGATGATGGGATAACCATAAAGGATTTTTCCCACGTAAAAGGACAACACTTTTTATTTTTTTATTGTGAAATGAGATAAAGTTTGCTTCCTACCCATTTGCATGTATTATTTATTGTTTATCACGATTACATTATATTTTATTTTGTATTAATTTTTTTTTATTTTTTTTTTATTTATTTTATTGATATTGTTTTTTTATTTTAATTTTTTTTTGATTATATTTTAATTTTTTGGATTTATTGTTATTCTACTATAAAAGAATTTTTGTTTATATGGAAATATTTTTTCTATTTTATGTATTCATGAATAAGCTATAAATTATTATTTTTGATGTTTGCTGTGGTCATCGGTAAATGTTCGTCATGTATGTCATTAACTATCATTTAAGTTTAATTTTTAATGATTAATGTTACAATACAAGCGAACGTACCTGTTAAATTATTAAATAAATAAATTGTCGGTAAAGTTATGCACCCGAATGACTAATGAGCAAAACTACTTGAATCTACCAGCGCCAATGTCTTCAAGGGTAAAACATGCTTCAAATAGAAAACAAACAGTTCCTATTAAAACATTAGGCATTATTAATGGTCATAGGTAATCACGTAATACATAGGCTTAAAGAATTCACCACAAAAGTGACTTGCCTCACGCTATTTTCCACGGACCATAAATTAGTTTCTCAACTAGCTGTTAATAACGAGATAGTTAAGCTTTAATATATCAGTGTTAGGGAGCGGCATACAAACTCTGTGCGGTTTCAAGTAACACCATTAGGTTGCGGCGCTCTTGATAAACGGTTAGCACGGACCGAATGCTATATCACCTGACACGATGTTGGCCGAAAAATATGAGGATATGGTATCTCCATTTTTTTGTGTGCAAAGCTGTTAAAGAATTATTACTTTCATTTTGAAACGCGACAATAGTTCATGCGAGGCGCTGAAATTCGTCTCTCTTCAAGTTATCACCTATACCTAAAGACGACCGCATCTACTCGCTTGTTATTTAACCTTTTAAGAATGTAGTAATCAATAAATAAAATAATAAAAATCCTTAACGTTATTTTGAAACACGAGCAGTAGAGGAGCAGAGATTTGAAGACTTCAAGTTTTCAATTTTTAGGCTCACTGTTAAACTGTTAATGATTTTTTTTTATTGTTTAGGCACAGCACTCAGGCGCGGATGGTTATAAGTGGTGCAAATGCGGTGTACATCGTCGGGACCTTCAAGCACCTCGGAACCGACGCCGATTTTAAGGTGAACGATATCATCATCATCATCATCATATCAGCCGTAGGACGTCCACTGCTGAACATAGGCCTCCCCATCGACTTCCACTTCGACCGGTCGTTAGCGGCCTGCAACTAACGCGTCCCTGCGATCTTAGCTAGGTCGTCCGTCCACCTTGTGGGAGGCCTTCCTACGCCGATATTATAAATATATATGTCCTATATATTTATAATATCAGCGCCGACTATCAGTTATTGCTGCTGTATAAATCGGCACATCCGGAAACTCGCATGAGACCGAGGTAAAGTATATATGATCTCTCCGATGTCAATTCCTAATAAAGTTTTTTGCATGTCCATTTCAAATTTAGTACAGTTTGCAAAATAACATATTATACTCTTCGCACAATAAACATACATGAACCATGTATCAACAAGTTTCACGTTTAAATTTCTCAAGAGTGTAATAGCGTCTTTCAAGCGATACTTTTGTAACGCTTTTCTATATCAAAGTTTCATTGCAGCGACCTGATAACGTTCATTCCTTGCAGCTGTACCTCACAACGAATGTGACCCAGGCAGACTTCAACATGGGATACACGATGACCGGGACACTGGAACGAGGAAGCCGCTCAACCAACACCTTCCAAGTCACTCACTTCGCTGTCCTGAGACGCTGCGACCACGAGTCACACCATCTGAAGAGCTCATAGAACTGCCACTGAAGCGAACGCCCAAATATCTTACAATATCTATAACTTTAATATTACACTATATTTTAATAACACCGAATGAGATTGTAGACCTACATAACTTAGCATGCTTAACAATGAATAATTGCAAGAGTGAGAATTGCAATGCGAAAATATTATGAATGCATAAGTAATAGGCAATTACTATTCATAGTATAATATTTTTTACTTTCACATTAGAGCTTAAAATATTTAGACTAATTTGGATAATGCTAGGGATTTCCGAAACGTAAACTACTATTACTTATTTGTGATAGAATATTCTAGAAACAGTTTTAGTTCGTTTCCATAAACGATTTCGCGATCGCGGATCTCGCTAATTTATACTAAGTAACGTAATAATGATAAGTAATAATTATCGAACTCCTAAATTTGTGGTAGTTTATTAGGCTATGAAATATTGCAAAGCGATAATGTGATCTCAATTTTGATTAGTAGAGTTAATGTGAACGTAGTCTTATTATTTATTTAGTGCATTTCCTGTCCTAGTGCCACTAATAGGTGTATATTAATAATGAAAGTGCGTGTTTGTTAAATGCAAACCATTTTTATCAACGTCTTATTATGTTGACACACTTATATAAGTTTGACCTGTATGTACATATATTTCTCGATGACTTCAAGACCTCCTATTAATTTGAAAATTAGGTTCGTTTTAAATTAATACTACAACAGACACGTATCCTGAACAGAATCATGAGGATAAATCACTAAATTTATTTTCATTTGCGACGTAATAACATATGCAGTTATAATTATGTCCCATTTTTGTTCTGTAAATTAGTATTGGTAGAAATCCGTGCATTAACGTGTAGGTACTTCAAGTGAGTTTTGTATTAGCATAAGCTATTTTAAGATAGAATAAGTATCAGGAGTCGCAAGTACCTGCTTGATAGAAGTATGAACAGGAATCGGGTCGTATCTCTATAAGGTGATAGGCATAAAGTATAGGCTTAGTTGTCGTGCTCATAGATCGAATGGATTAATGTTCGTTTTAAAATGGCTGTGAGCGTAATTCGAAGTGGCCGGCGGAGCCTTCACGCTTCGCCGGATAAAATAATAAACCATCGGACCGCATAGCATATTCATCCTAACTAAGCTGCCCCCGCATGCTGTATCACGCATCTCACACATCGACGCACTTTCGGAATTTAAAATTTCTAAACGATATCGTCCATTTTATATCAACGCACTTTTTTGTGCTTTATTCTGAACTATTTTTTACAATATTTATTAGTTTTTTAAATATTTTTATATGTGTACGAGTATAATGTGCAATGTATTTTATTCCCTGTTTATAGTTTCAGCATATTTTTCATTTCAGCTATTTTGTCATTAGATAGCTATAGAAGACTAGAAATAAGACCATCGCTTACTTTTTTTATGGAGAAATGGGGCAAACGAACCTGATCGTAAGTGATTACCGACGCCCATGAACACCTGCAACACCCGAGGGCTCACAAACGCTTTGCCGGCCTTTTAGGAAAGAGTATGCTCACTTCTTGAAGGTTTCCACATCGTAACATTGTATCGCCTTCCACTCTGCTTAGTCTTAGTCTTATTTACCTGGACTCTAAATATTTTTAATTATCTGAGTCGGTATTACATTACCATTTCGATAAAAATCGAGTTTTTTTTTCACAACTCTATTAGATAAGTTTATTAAACATATTACAAATATTACATTTCCCGCTTTGTTTTGTAAACTTGAAATAACTTATGCATTCACTACTAAATATAAGCGTACTATTTCGTATTGTATCTTTGTATAATCTAAAACTAAGAAGAACACAAACGTCCAGTATCGCACTCCCTCCAGTGTTTATACACATCATTTTGTACAAAGTTCGAGTTCTCTTCTTTACTCCAGTTTGTCTATGTGTAGGGAACTAGACGCTAACTAGTAATTGCACTGCTTTTAATACTTCTAGTAGTAACTTTACTCATTACTATGTGAACGGTGTATAATTTAACTTTTATATTACTTTAATCAACACCTAGTAGCTTACGACTCTACCAAAAATTTAATACATAATGCTAAGTAGAAGTTTACACATCTCGTTAATATTTATGAGTATTAGTAACGCTCATAAATAAATCGTAAATTTAACTAGCACAAAGGTATTAATCGGTTGTGATAAAGTAGAATTTTAGTTTCAAAGTAGTGCTTTTTCCAGTCTTTTTAGGCCTATCGTAGAAATCTTTTCCTTAGAACTAAAAACTAGAAATTTCACATGTGTAGTAGGGAGCTAATTTTCAATAAGCGTAAAAATCGAAATATGTAAATTGTTTTAGTGGTCAAAGTTTTGTTAACTCCATTTTGACCAATGCGTACTACATATATTAAGTAAATCCATGTTCTTAATCCTATCAAACAATACAACTATAACATTAAATGGCCAGTTTGAGGCTTGTTGTTATAATAGCTAAAGTCATCATAATCTGATGACTCAGAAATGCAGCTATATCCAATAGCATTAAACAGTCCCAGATGTGCTCCAGATTCTTGATTGTTGCTTACTCCTTCAATCTAGATCGAAAAATCGCAGATACTTGACATAAGATAACGGAGATTAAAATTTACTCTTTTTATTTTATTATTTTGCGGACATTGGTGTTGGTTATACGTTTAGTTTAATGAATAGAAATTCCATTTTATGTATAATTGTTAATGTGTAACTGTTTTATGTACCAATAAATTAAAAAAGTAATAATAATCCTCCTTGTTATCCCCTACATCCTGTTGTCGTCAATCAAGAAGATTTAATCGCAACTTAAATTAGTCAAGGCATCACCTTTTTATCCAATGTATTTTAAGTCATTCGTAAATACAACCTGCTGTAATACTTTTCAACCTGTAGAAATGTTTTTAATCATCCGAAAACGTCTTAGGATCATACTGAGTTCAAGAGTATTCAAAACCCTCTGTCCTCCAGATTTAGAATTATTAGAACTATTAAATTTCAACTTGCAACTTTTCATTGCTTTTCCATTCAAATAAATTATAGCAGTTTCCGATTCAGCTAGGTTTTAAGTTTCCTTTTAAATTGGATTGTATTATTGGTTGTATTGTTGGTCGGATTGTAGTATTGGTTGTTTTAAATTCGAAAGGAATATGATATTTGTACTTTTAATTAACAGTTATTATATGTTTTACTTAAGCATCCTACGCAGATCTAGCAATAGTTATATTTTTTGTTGCTAAGCAAATAGATAACCGACTAAAAATGCAATTTAAGTTTAATTTAGAATAGTGTGAGTTATAAACGTAATGCAAGTGCCAAAGACAATTATAGGGAGCTTCTAATGTAAGGTCTCAATTATTTTGTAATATGTAAGAGACGATTTGTAAATAAATGCTTCATATTTATTGGTGTCAATCGTATATTGAAACGGATTATGCTCAAATAAACCGTACCGTATATAATGTCGTCTTTCTTTTCTACCCTTTTTATTTTACCTTTGTTTACATAAATATATTGATAAAACAATAACAAGACATTAAAACACAATGACACACAATTAAAAAAATTCAAACAATTACAAGACATAATAAAATTTACTATCTCCACGAATTAATTCTGAATTACAACCTAAGAACCCAAAGAAAATTTTGGGGATTATTTTGGAATTGGAATATTTTGGGAACTCGAACCGCATCATAATCAGCCGCTTTGCTTTGTCGGTAATGTCCAGACACGTTACCTGGAAGACACTGTTTCGAATCACACAGCGCAGACACTTTTGTCTAACATTTTTGCATCAATTTAAACTACATATGCCAGTTGCCAAGGCATTTTCTTCGGTGACGGGTGTCGTGGGTTTAAATTTTTTTTTATATTTTTTTTAACGTTGCACTCACTTTAAGATAACATTATTTTGTGTTGTAAGGGTGTTTTACAAACAACCCACATACGAAGCAACTTCCATCTGTGGGTCCTACAAAATGTTATCCCGTGTTGGGATCGAACCTTTATCTTAATTAACATAACTACATGCAAACAAACCATAAGCCGTAAAACATTTACATACATGTTGCTATCATATACGAGTACATTTATGCATGACTTTGCCATTCGAAACTTCTAGTTTAATATCACTCATCAATCAATTAATGCTCATTGAAGAAGCGCTATTCGAAAACCTCACAGTCTATCGCTTTTCTACGTAAGCAGCACAAAACTGTATTGTATTAAAAATTCTTCCAATTTAGGGAAACTTGTATCATATTTATTGTATTATATTTTTTTAACCCTATTAAATTACCCGAAAGCTTAAATAGTATTTTATAGTATTCGTCTAATAATGTTACCTCATTAATAAAATATGTAATTGCTAGTTTAATAGTGAAATTCGACACAGAACACAAGGTTAGTGCTTAAAGGTGTTAACGTTACGCTACATTCCTCCCAACAATTAAACACTTGATACACACACAACGTATAACGTACAGTATCAAAATATACACGGTATATGCTTGTTCTTTACTAGTAGTCTTACTGTAGGTAAGCATTACTGCGGTTTGGTTTCTTCGCCTTTACACAACAGCGATCTTCTGGGATTACATTCGAGACGCGTTATTTATAGGATTTTACAGAGCAATATCATAAAATAGACTATACGAATGCGCTAGATTTAACTAAAAGGGTTGTATTATTAAAGTTGCTAATTTAGAATAATAAATGTAATCAACACGATAACTAGTTGAAGGTTAACAACGACAATAAAAAAAATTATAAACATTATAAAGTACACTATACGTGTTTAAAATAAGAGAGTAAACGACAGCCTCATGATTTAAAGTAAACGTGACTGGCACAGATATTTATCTCGTTTCGTGTTTTTTTAGTGAGAGGTGTAGCGTTCAACCTTTAACGGGCGAAGACGCAGTAAACAGTTAGATAAAAATCTACATTATTCTATAACGTCTTGTCAATTTGAACGATACTGTATTACCTAAAATTGTTTAGTTATTTTACTACGGGAAATAATTTTTTTTTATGTAAGAAAGTGGCAAGTATGCTGGCATTTCACCTGATGTTAAGTGATATTCGCTGTCCAAGGATATTTGTAACATAAACGTAGGATTACAAATTGCTGCCTTTTAATGAAGAGGGCACTGGTTATTTAACGCCAGTCTCCTGTGAGGTAGTGATACTTCACCGAATGGACCTACCCATTCGTGCAACAGCGATTACTGCTGCGTAGCCCTACCATAGTTAATTCATAAAGACTTACAGCATTCGATTTAAATTGAAGCCTCTGTAAACTACTGCTCTACGAAAACGTAAAACAAGGTACTATATAACATATCGATGTTCAGTTGTCAGTTAGTCGCAAACCGACGCTCAGTGGGAATGGAGTTCACCGAAAAGGTCGTCCTAATAACAGGTGCTAGTTCAGGCATTGGAGCGGCTTGCGCCGTACGATTCGCAAGGGCTTCGGCTAAGCTGTCGCTCGTTGGACGGAACAAGGAAAACCTAGAAAAAGTGGCAGAGCTCTGCGAAACAGCAAGTGAGTCTCATCCACTAACAATAATAGGCGATATCACGTCGGAGGAAGACGTGAAAAGAATTGTGACAACCACGATAGACCACTACGGTCGAATTGACGTGCTGGTGAACAATGCCGGTATCACCTTAATGGCCAGCATTCAAGACGGCGTAGAACCTCTTGACCGTATCATGACAACGAATGTACGGGGGACGTATCTGCTCACGCACCATGTTATACCATACCTCGTGCTTACCCGAGGGAACATCGTCAATGTCTCCAGTGTACTCTCGACCACGCCGATGACGTGTATGACGCCGTACTGCATGTCCAAAGCTGCTCTGGACTGTTTGACCAAATGCCTTGCATTAGAACTGGCCAGTAAAGGTGTTAGAGTGAACGCAGTTAACCCAGGCCCAGTGAAGACTAACTTGTTCACGAGGGCTGGCTTAAGCAGTGAGTTCAGCGACGCGCTCTTCGCCAGCTTCTCCGCTGCCTTGCCCCTCAAGAAGATATGCGAGTGCGAGGATGTTGCTGAACTGGTCACGTACCTCGGTAGCGACAAAGCGAGCAGTATTACTGGAAGCTGCGTGGTAATGGACTGCGGGGTGAGCCTCGGTGACTCCGAGAAGAAAATCGAAATGTAATATATTCATAAGTTATTGTCGAAATCTTTTATTTCCACCTGAAAAACATTGTCACTTTTCAATCCCTTAAACTTGTGTAAATATACATACAAATTAACAAAATAATATATCAAGCGATATTTAAGTTTCAAGCCTCCAGACCGCACAATGTATGCAATTCCGCATTATTTTGAAAACGACAATATTCATAACCCCGATAAGTTTGTTTGAGGAACAGCTAATTTGACGATGACGGCTTACGAAACAAAAGCGGGGAATGTAAATTATGTTAAAACTCGCGGCGAACAAAAGCCTTCAGGGCCTAGCGACGGGTTAAAGAAGCACGAAATAAGATCTTTATTCCTCCTTTAGAAGGGACTTGACGCCATCGACGTTGAAGTGATTTTGCCGGGAAACCATTTATTATGATAACAATACCGGTCCGTTATCCGAAGAGCATAATTATCTTCCAGGTGCTCCTTATTACCGTGTTATCTTGTTAACTCCCCTCTCGCAATCCTGCTACAAATTGGTTGCGTTCACCCTCGGCAATTAAAACAAAAATTGTTAATATACATTAGCGCAGATAGCGGGATTGGAAAAAGAAAGGAAATATAAAAAATACGTTAAAAGCTGGATCGACGAAATGGAAGCGAACGAATTAGCATGCGACGATTGTGCCCCAATTCCAGGGAAGGGAAGTAATTCCCGAAACGAACGGAAAACTCGACCCCGTTCGGCGTCACGGGCGATTGTTATCCGCGATTAATATAATTCCCTAATTTATACACGACGAACGTAACCGAGGCCCGTTCTATTGTTATTGGACCGAACCGCGACTTTCAATTAGGAAACACCACTTAACCAGATATTGCTTCGTAGCTCGCACCGGCTCGGAGCCTCGCTACGACGGCTGCCGTAATTATCTTGTTTTGCGTTCTAATTATTTCCGTGTGACTTTGCCCCCCACCTTTTGCGCTTCCATTCGCCGTATTATTTGCCGCGTTAATAGGGTCATTGCGGGTGAAGCGCCGAAGGAAATTAGTTTCATTGTTCTTAATAATATTCTTCTGTTAGAGTGCGCCGTAAGTGTGCTTAAACATACAACCCATAATTTGTAAAAAATTGTGTCGCAAAATATGTCTAAGATATTATGTCTCAAAAATTTTGTATTTTCGGTACGCAATAACCTCCATAATTATTCTTCATCATAAAGCTTATGTTTGCTTCTATTAACAAAAAATAGGCAAGTTACATTTAAAAAAAGTTATAAATTACATATAAAGAATGTATGATTGCACCATCTATTGACAATCTGTTTAAATGAAAATTAAAAAACGTTATTCCTAGAATAACATGCCTTTCATAGATAAAAACTTATTTGTACATTATTAAATTAGCATTCGGAGACTGATCACGGCACTGTGACAAAATTTCGCACAAATAACCCGTGGAATGGCAGGGTATCTTTTGAGGATCCCCCCCCCCCCCTCCTCCCATACCAAAAAAGTGATGGCCACGGATGAAAGACTTTTGCAACACCCTTGTAGGGTTGCAGATGCGTTGCCACCTTGCAATAAAGCGGATTCCAGTTTCCTCACCTCACCAAAAGAAATACGTAGTATAACGCTTCCACTTCTGCCACGCCGCTCTTCTGTGAGATAGTGATACTTCCCCGGACGGACCTGCCCATTAGTGCCACAGCGAAGACTGTTACATGTCCTTACCACAGTTCAATGATATAGTGCAGCAAGCAACAAGGACATTCGATCATAAGTTAAAATTTCCAGTAAATTACCATAAATGTCTTTGTTCTAAATTAATATTATAATAATAACACATCACAAATATTTAATACTTGTTACCATAAAATTAAGAACTACGATGCAAAAAGCTCTGGAATCATCAAGTAAAAAATCCCCAAAGATATGAAGAGTAAGCGAGTTTAACAATATCATAAAGGGATTCCCGAAAGTATCTCCATTCGCATAAGACGCCTACGTGAGTAAGCAACTATCGACACGAACAGCGGAGGTAGTTCGAAGCGCCATTCCAAATGAATTGCAAGCTACGTGTACGAGATAGCAATGCCACTAACAATGAACTTGGATCTAATATGCCACTTCCAAAATGTTTACAATACACATGGCGTGTACGAAATTCAAGAGAAAATTTTAGTGACGTTTTGATAATCAAACGGTCGTTTCCAAACGCAAGATGAATTTGCTCATTGTATATAATGGAATGGTTTTCCTTTGATTATATAGACAAGTGATATAATCAAAGGGTTTTTCATTTGGATAGGAGATATGGAGAGGAGATTAGGAGGACGTTCCCAATTCGTTTTGATTTTTATGTTTGTTACGTCAGAACTCCTGTCATTAATAAACCGATTTTAATTATTTTTAATAAAATTTAGTTTAGCTCAACTGAGGTCCCATATTCCTATCATAGAAAGTGAGTGTGAAAATGTATTGAGAGATGTTTGAAGTCGAATATTTTTTATTAAAAAAAATTATATTTTAGTCTCTCATTATTGAGTCTTGATTAGAAAGTCGAATTAAATCAAAATCGCTTCCGCATCAAGTCTTAACGTATCCAAAACGTATTTAAAACAAAGCTTCAAGACATATATCGTTTGACAATTGCAACACAATGCACATTCAATTACTACAGTGTTAATAATGTCCTTTGGTGGCACGTGCCTAAGTGTCCACCCATGAGGTACCGGTACCAATTTTATTTCTGCGGATAAGACGAGATTAACGAGTAACCGCTATAAATCAGCGAAAGTTCCCAAAGTAAATGTTTAATGTAACTTAATTTCAATTTTTCTCATAATGTAATCTATTGACTCGAAACTATGCCGCCACAGGAAAATGAGAACACAATAACGAATGAAGTTAAATTGCAAACATCCTCTTTAAGAACCAATTACAGAGTTACAATTGTTGCTGTATCTGTAGGCATTAGTTTTGACCGAGTTCTGAGAGAACATAAAATCTCCATCCATCAAATATAAAAAATAGTCTTTATCGTTACCCATTTTTCACATCGGAATAATTTTGTCATGGTAACAAGTTAAAAGATTTAAATTCATTATCATCATCATTTATTTATTTATTTTATGCATTTATTTGTGTATAGTAGTGTTGTGTATCTATAATACCTATATTTACAATAGCGTATACCTCAAACCCTTCTCACTGATCATTGTATCCTCAGTAACATGGTTGCCTGGAAGAAATCGCTTCTAAGCGATAAGGCCGCCAATTGTACCTTTATGTAATTGTTTGTTACTTTTGTAATTTTGTCTGGTGTACAATAAAGCATATTTCATTCATTCATTCATTCATTTCAGCCGGTCAGAGTCAGCTGCCGAACATAGGTCACAGACTACCACGAAGAACGAACTAACTGAAAAATTTATTGCTATTAGCTAAAAGTTTATCAATACTAAGGAGTTTATATTGATATTCAAATAGCTATGGAACCGAAGTTTTGGTTAATTGCCCAGATAAATTTATTATTATTTCTAAAGCTGTCAAAATGTATTTCTTATATTGAATGGACTAAAGTGATGCTATATCGTTATTGGTCTGAAATCCTTCATAATTTTTGGGCAAGAGTAGACATCTATCCCTTGGTTCCCAAGCAAACTAAACTAAAGAAAGACTAAACTAACTTAACTAAAAAAAAAGAGAGATACTAACTAAAAATATGTTATGTAACAAAAGTACTCCACGTAGCATGATACCAGGAACACTTATTGCATTGTCTCACTGAATAATTAACCTTATAATTAACGTGTTCTCTAGCCGCCAACTGCTTCAATAAATCTAAGACATCATTATTTATAAAATTGTTGTTCTAAGCTGCTTCATTTCTCGGGCCCTTGGGAAACATAATTATTAAAAAAAAACATTTTATACATATTATCATTATCTATCAGCAATAAGACCGAACCCAAAAGTGACCAAATCTATACGGAAAAGAACTTATATTAGAGTAAATAAAATTGGGAACGATTGAGCAAATATGTTTGCATCCAGTTCTCCAAGTAAATGGCGTAGTTATAGGGCATTTAATTTGCTCGTTAAAAATGAAAAATGCTGCTAAAATTAATGTGAGCCCTATATTAAAGATCTTAAATTTCTTCCGTCTAGAGACTGCTTGAGAATGAAGATTTTCACAGAAATAACAAGAATATCTTTTTGTAACACTGTAGACACTGGATCGTAGTTCTCTCTTGGTGATAAGGTGAAACGGCTTACAACAATATAAGCTCCTTTTTCTTTGCACGCCGACGCTCCGTATTCGCTGACAGTAATCTTGAAGACGCGCCAGGTTCCCGCCCGCTACCGGAATATATTGGACTTTCCAGGCCCCTGAGACTAAAGAGCTCACTCCTGCCGAACATCCCCAACTTCTTCACAGGTGTTAACGAAAATTGAGCTCTCAAGCGTATACAATTAGAATTGGAAATGGAAAATGTGCTCTGCCATAACCCGTGGGAAGAAAAGGACTGGGCAAGCGAAACTGTACTATTTAAGGGGCAACAGATTGGTTCACTTGTAATTTGTGCCGCACGTGTACGGAATAAAAACGTCGTTTGCTGTAGATGATCATTTAATTGTGTACACGATAATTTCCCGTTTAGAATCACATTCGTAACGATAAGTAACTATACGTCATATATTTTATATGTAGTATTGAAACCTGTTGTGCATAGTTTCATCACTTTGTTACTGATATAGCTTTACCTTTGGTACATGGTATAGTATGGCATAAATTTATGATTACTTTAATCGATATCAAAATATTAAAGGAATTGTCCCATTTTTTTCACTATAATACTTAAAGAACATTAGCCTCACGTTTATTATAGGTTTTGTAAATGAGATACAGCCTGATGACAGACAGACAGGATCCCATTTTACCCTTTGAGTACGGGACCCTAAAAAAGGATAACATCGGATTGTTAAAGCACTTGCGGTCTGTTTTGACGCGGCGAACATCTTTCATAGGGTTTATTAAACAAAACTACACAAGGTTTCAGCATTCGGCCTGTGACCGAAATGACTTGTTAAAGTTAATCCATAGTGACTTTGCGAATTCTCGTCGAAAGTTACTCGTCTGAACCAATATCAACAAACTTCGGTGTTTCTCAAGGATACGTTCTCATATTCATTTACTTTTCTGCTAATTATAGATGTTCTGCTCAAGCCCAATACAAAACGCAGCAGTTAAGCTGAAAATCTGGAGTAGGGGGATCAAATTCAGTCCGAAACAAATCGTGATAGAAAGTAAGAGTCTGCAATGCTTTCCGTTCCGTCCAATAACAACGAATGATTTGAATTTACTTAACTTCACAAGATAAGAGAACATCACCACGCACAACCAGTCCGTAAAAATGTAATATAATCTTTTAGGCAAACACAGTCTAAATTTATTATGAAGACATATTTCAAAAACTCCAAATCACCTTTGCTCGTAACGTAAAAAGGCTTGCGCAATTTAACTAGTTCCAGTCCCACACTGCTTTTCCCATACCGAGCGATATAAACAATAAAAAGGGGAAAAAACATACAATCATATTTTATCGGGAAAGCTATTCCTCGCAGGCGGATGCCGGTCCCACCAGCTACATAAAATGCCGTGTTAACAATAACAAGTCCCGACGCGTCGAGACATACCCCACCCCGAGACATCGCACTTGTTCCCACTTGCAATCATGATTTTTATTTACCAAATCCTGAATAGTGCCGTTCTAGTTGCGGACCGATAAACATATCGATATTGTAAATTGGAATCGAGTGCTGAAACTAACTGAACTAATAAAATGTAACAAACACCTCACGTAGTCATGAGTTCAATTCGTAGCCGATGTGTACGTTGTCGGTTTTCCAATTTCGATCTATGTTCTGGTTATATTTTTGTTTTTCCCCATTTCGAATTTGTCTAGCAATGTGTTCCAAATTTATTAATACCTCATATTTATCAACTTTTTATTGAATAAAAATAATTAAACAATCTCATAAACAATCTTTAATTGCAGTCGATTTCATTATCTCCATAAATAGTTTTACGATCAATTAACCAAAACTCAATGGCGATCATATTCTCACACTATGGTAGGAGAATTGGAAATAATTTTTGAACAGTGACGGGGATTTGAAATACATTTAATGTCAACCATGTCTTTGCACTTTTAAGTTATTGAAATTTATAACATATTGTTATAGTTATCGCAGTACATCCCTAAATATTTTAGTATGCAGTAAAGTTGCCTTCAAAAACTACGGACGTGCCTGATTTGCCGTCAGAGAACCCATGAGTCTTAGGTACTATAAAACTGAACTACATTGGGATTCAAATATATTTTTTTTTATTTGTGTTCCTTTATTTTATGTACGCCCGCGCACTAAAACCGTTTAATTTTTAATAATGAGAAACATTTCTAACAACAATTAAATTATTTGAAATACAAGCTATATTCCTTGTAATAATTATAATTTTATTTTCATAAATAATGTTAAAAACCTTTAAAAAATCACGTTTTAATTTATCACCTGAATTTAATCTCATTTACAACAAAAACAATGAATACAATATGAATGCATTACCACAGTTGTAATCTAACAAATTCTAGACTTTTAATTTAATCGAAAACTAAAGTCATTTCACAAGGATATTACAAATTATATAAACTTAACTCGCTACCAAATCAGACTTATCTACAAGAAGTACTATAGTGTAAACGACTAAAGACGTGAGATCGCCTATAGGTGACAACGCAAGCAATAATTCAATCAAATGGGCTTAACGGGGCTCTCTGTGTTTACCAAACACGTACCCTTATCAAGAAGCATTGACGATTTTATCCTCTTGAGACATTCTTACTATATTAATTGTTGGAAACGCACATCATTTTAAACTCTATTTTCATGAATATAAAGATTTTTCTCCGTCCTCCACACATTCGCCGCCTGATTGAGTTTGCGATTACTCGCTTATAAAATCTCAACCGATGAAGTCGTTCACACTTATTGCTGTTCTCATTTACTGGATGGAAAATGGAGCATGTCGAGACGAAGAAAAAATCAGCAAAGGTACTTATATAGTTGGAAGCGACTATCGCTTAAGCTCTTTCTTAATTTCGTCTTTTAATCCTATCATTTGAGTTGGAAGTAGATAAATTTATAGAAGCACTCACAAATTAAGAAGATATATTAGCTGGATACTAAAGCTATTATAGTGAGTCTAGGCTCCTTCGCAGCACCCTTGGGAGCTGTAATGGAACCGTTAAAACGACGTGGAAAAGAACTAAGAAGTTTTAAGTGTTCACAGCTCGATTTACACTCTATTGCAACGCGAAAACAATCAATACTTAGTCAAAGGAATTTGGTACTGTTTGATCTTACCCATTCATTAAAGTATAAAGGACATCCTATGTTGTAATCATTGTTTTATACAACACACTCAGATACATGTTGTATAAAAATCATGATTCTTTGTAATACTTATGTGTTTCTTTTTTAAAATTGGGTGCAATCCATGTGGCATCCGATATTAGTATACTAAAAGTTTACCGCAAAAATCATAAAGTAGATTTAGCAAAGCAAACATGATAATATAAACAACAGAATAAGAGAAACATGTAAACTAAAACTTATAATTGAAATTCACATAAGCACAAAATAAAATTTGTAGTACCTAATTGAAACTTAAAATCATAACAACAGAATAAAATATCCTCTAACCTTTAAATACTTTGATGTTTATGTTAAATTAGCACGCTTTCGTTTTCCTTTTGCACGCGTTTCTCTTTTCTAAGTTTAATAACCCTTGATATTGAAAACATACAAATTAAGAAAAACACAGTTAGGCAAGGATTTGATGAAAACATTATGACATTTGTAGTATAAATTACTTCCCTCCCCCATTCTTAAGGGTGCTATTGGCCGAACGAAGTGTACGAGCCTTGCTTCGGTGGCTGCGCGGAGGTATCGTGCGACAATCCCCGAAACCACCTGCGCCCCTGCTACCCGTATTGCGAGCCGGGTTGTGTGTGCGGGGACCCTTACGTCAGGGACGACCGCACACACCAGTGCGTGTTGCCACAGGACTGCTCGCCGTAAGTACTGGGGAATCAGGCAACCAAAGAAGGACACTTTAGGACGTAAAGATGATACTAATAATTCACTTATTAAAATTATACATTGTAATTATCACACATCAATGTACATAGCCTTTTCACACTACAAAATCCGATTATGGACACTTACTCTATGTGTGCTAGAAATTCATACGTAAAATAATCAAAGATTATTTTACGTACGAATGTATATTTCAGATAAATCTCAAAGTAAAAAGCATGAAAATGCCCTGGTTTATGCTATTATAATTCCGGAGAATGATATCAATCCGTTTTCATCCTATCGCGGGAAAAACACACAATAATTATAGAGAAATACAGTCGAGTTTAGAGACATATTTCACATCTTATTAATGTACTTTTCAACGATGGCATTCAAGATTATTAGTAAAATCACTTTGATGAACGACTTGATACCGTTTACCATATCTATTTTCACTTAGAAATTTATAAATAATCGAAATATTTGTGTATTGATTTATACTTTTAGATAATTAAAATTTATACTCTAATGGTAACGTTATCTTACAATCCAATTATTTCAATCTTTTAAAAAGTGTGGCCGTGGTATCGCTTTAAACAAAAAATTATATAAATCTGATAAAGTTTCAAATTCATCATTCAATTTTTAATAATTTATTAAAAAGCACTAGTGTAAAACAACACTACATAATTATATTCGTTGCTGATTTCAGAACTCAGATGGGCATACCAGTACCAACGAAGAGGATCGCCAAACCACCTGCCCCGAAATACGTGATTGCGAGCAAGCCACCGAGGGGTCACGGGAAACGAGATGAAATTCCAGATATTAACGAAAGCGTCGGACCACCGAGCAACCACGTGGAGGACTTTAAACGGGGCTCTGACATGTCGCGAATGGGCAATTACTTTAATATCGTGATCGCCCCTCCGCCCATAAAAGCGTTGCAGCCGAGAAAACTTCTCCATAACGAAAATTTCAGGTCGCCTATCAAACAAATGAATCAAAGAGAATAATAAATAAATGGCAATTATTAAAAAAAAATAAAAGTTTTATTTAACTCCACACATAATAAATTAATTATATCTCATTCCATACATTAACTGCATTATACAATAATGAATTATGCATTGTACAATAATGGACCTATTAGGAGATAGAAATTAAATTTATCTTATTTAGAACAAAAAACAAATAGTTAAAATGAACTCCTAATCTTAATAAAAGAAAGTGAACAAAATAAACGACAGATTACTATTAAAAATATTGTTTGAAGAGACGTTAGAATAAAAATTAAAATAATCGATGAGTCATATATCTGCTAGAAATATTTTTTACATTTATATTTTGACTTTTTAAAGGGTCTTGGAAGATGTTTGCTTGAATAAGTTTGTTCACGATAATAATTAGGCCGATCCAACAAAGAAACCTCTATAAAGTATAAATGTTGAATAAAAGCAATTGTAAGAGAATCAAAGTAAAAACGAAAATAATAATTAGATATAATAATAGTTTTTGCAATTTCTTGCTACAATATTTAGTAGGAAGGAGTGGTACAAAGTGAAAAATAAGTGAAGAAAAGTAACTGTTTTGATGACACGATAACGAAAGAAAACGAAAATAAAAGGCACATCCGCCGTTTTGGTTCTCCTTTTATCAACAATACTCAAATAGCACTGATTAGCGCTGTTGAGGTCGTCGTAAAACAAAGCGCGAAAATTAAACTCGACGCCAAATTACGAGCAATATGGAGTGTAACTGAGTTACAAAATGCGTACACTCTTACTATTGGGCTTCCTCCTTTGTAAGAATACAAAGTAATGAATATAAAAACAACAATTCATAATATTTACTCTGTACTTACTGAATATTAATATTGCAGATGACGTCTTTGCCTTTGCTTCGCGTATAAATAATTACGATTATGAAGACGTCGAAGGAAATAAAAGGCATACGCTCGGCGATGACAGGAGGAATTGGAGAAAGAAAGCCTTACTGAAAACATTAGACTCAGACCATAAAGACTGGGACGATAGGCGTAGATTCGAACAAGACAATATGAGGTACACTGAAGACGACAAAGGTTACGGAGCAATTGACAGACAGCGGGAAATGGATACTCCTTCAAGCGTATTCCGAGGACAGAGGCGATATGACGAATTAGATAAAATGATCTCCGGGATAAATAATGATTTAAACCGCCCTTCATCTCTCTTGTAATAACAGTACAAGTATATTCTGATGACGTTGTACCATCATTCAATTATTCACATTATGATAATTACTAAAACATTTTTATTGCAGAGAAAAGGATGTAGACAAGAAGATATCCATGAACTGCGACCGGCTTCATGAAAGGTATTAAATTATTATATTATATGGCCTTTTATTTATTCTATCATCGGTAAGAAATAAAAATTCCTCATTACTATTTTTATGCAAAGGCATCTTCCAAAAATATCTTTAAAAGTACATAAAGAATTCCTTAGAATCTTGGCGAGGAGACTCTAAACTGAAGTCATCCAGTGCAGTCGTGTGCACATCATCGATAATGAGGGGATTAGATAATGCAAAAGTTGTTAATATTAAAAAAGTTGTAGGTCTCAGGAAATTATCATGTTTGAATGTTTTAATAAGTTGCCTGATAATATCCTTAAATCATATTTATCATAGCATATTATGTGTGTATCTGGAATAAAAACTATTGAGTTAATGTGTTATCAAAATTCAGATACGAGCCCTGTTTCGCTGGGTGTGCATCAGTCACCTGCGATAATCCCCATGACCGGCTGCGACCATGCTATCCCTTTTGTGAGCCCGGCTGCATATGTGTGCATCCGTACGTCCGTGACGACCGCACGCACAAATGTGTCCTACCGGAAGATTGCACGAAGTGAGTACACATTTTTAATAGGTTTTGAACGACTACCAAAATATACAATATTATGCTCTACATCGACCATCATGTGATACTACTTCTACTCGTAGTATCGTGAATTTTAAGCTGCCAGTAAATTAACTATAGCAGATAATATACACTTTGGATAAAAATAATTTTAAAAAACTATTCATTTGTCTTTTTCAGGGGTCTCAAAGGCATTCCGGACTTGGGAGATGACTTTTAAATGATTTAATAAGCTTATTTCATAATGTTTTTTGTATAACTTGTAATAAATGATTTTTTATCCCAATCATAATTATTCTCTAATAATAAAATATTGTAATATAAAACAATTAATAATGAAGATATTTTGATCTACATAGATCTCAAGGCATTATTAAGTGTAAAAAAATTCTTCTTTTATTTAAAATTTTCTATTTAGTACCTAATAAAAAGATGAAGATGTATCATAAAGGTCATCTTTTTAAATAACAAATAAAAATGATAAGCAACGGAGTGTAAAGTGTGAAAATAAAGTAACAAGATAGTTAATTGACTAATACAATGCATGCATTGTGTTAACGAAATTATTGAACGAAAACGAAGACGTAGAATGCGGCTATTGTTTCTTGGACCGAATGGTCGGTTCTCCATAACTCTTTTAATTGTGTTGTAGTTTAATTTAGGAATTAGCTCCAGTAACGATTAAAATTTAATTTTGCAATTATTATTCTTTTCAAAAAAATTTTGTTAAGACCGTGGATTAATTAAAAAGAAAGGTGTTTGAATTGATAAAGCAAAACTGCCTGTTACGTAATGACACGCCATTACCGTAGTAAGAAAGTGTGACTTTGTTTAATTTACACATCAGCTGCCACATGAACAGTCAACGACTGCAGAAAACCTGTAATAAATAATGTATCATTGAAAAAAAAACATACCAATGATAATTTGGTTCTTTTTGATCTCTTCCCCATTGCCGATCTATACCAAGGATACCCAATTTGGTAAGTATTGTGCCAATTAACTTTAACAATAATTTTGTATCATCGAATCTACACATTTCGCAGTTCCATATATGCATATAAAGAATATGTACCTATATAATTATGTATTGACCCGTCCAGTTAACAATTTTCATATCCATAAAGCAAACATTTACAACTTGTCTAAAAGCTAAGTCTTAAAAGACGAATTGTAAGGCTTGATTAAAATCGTTTTTGTTTTAACACATTGCATTTAGACGGACAATACGACGACAAATGTTCAGATCGCCCTTGTGGTTAGAGAAACGATAGAAATTGGACAATTTTAAATCATTATAATTGAACGACCTACTTAAATAACTGTAAATTAAACATGAATAAAATTAATAAGAATTACTTTTGTAATGTATAAAAAAAACCTTGACTACTAACTTCTATTAAATTAATTGAAATGGTTTCCCTTTATTAGAATGTGGTGACCATGGAAGATTTGAATATTGTATTGATGGTATACCAGGGTGTATCGTCGGATGTCATTGTCACCCCGGTTACTACTTCGACACAGACACAAAAATTTGTGAACCCAAGTACGTAAATACGACAAATTATAACTGAGCTTATTTTAGTTATATCGCTAGAGTAATATACAATTAAATGGAAAGAAAGGCCAGGTTATAGTTTATTACATACTTGTAATTAAGGGAACGAAAAAATTTTTAAAGTAATTCTTGGTAAAAATATTTTTACTCATGTTTCCTTCAATTAAAAACACGAACAAATATGAGTAAAATCCACCCTATTTTTCTTCCCATTGACAATACAGCAAGCAGCTTGAATATGGGCATGTTTTAATAAGTTTTTTTTATGGAAGAATATGCCATATCATTGGAGTATAATTATTCATGATTATCCATTGACATTGACCTCTATGCATTCCCTAAAATCAATGAATTATTCGCGTTAGGTTTTGTAAATAGATAAATATGAAATCTGTCTTTTACAGCTCTAAGTTAATGCAAGCTTATCGTAGACATTACGCAGGGGAACCTACTAGAATCTCTCAAATAAACTCACCTGAAGTTTTGGAAACGTCAACATCTTTTTCGACGGTTGGCATTATGGACGATCATGTGGATGCTATAGCTCAGAATGCAGATGATCTTGGAGACTGGCTCTATAATCAATTCTATAAAACGATAGAAAGCCAAGTTATTAATAAAACGAACGATAACCTCATAACTAGAAGAAGTGGAAAAAAACCCACACCAAAAACGAAAAAGGGGCGGAAAAAGGAAAGGCAGGTATCATTGAAAAAGAAGCAAAAGAAGGATGATTTACGCAGAAAATTACTACGCATAACTGAAGATGACAGCCTCTTTGATTCAGATGCAGATACAGATACAGATACAGACAGCTCACACTCTTCTAGTATCGATGAAACACGAGAGAGCAAAGATAAAGAACACGGTCATAAAAAGTTTGTTATAGTTAACAAGAAGCCAAAGCCACAGCTGCCTTCTTTTATCTTCTTACCAAATATAGAAACACCTTTCTATCCTCCAGTAGGTTTACCGCCGCCAGTTCTTCCAATGTATCCTATGGTGCCCGTACCACCAGTACTGCCATCTTATTCTTTCCCAAGTAAGAGAATAGCCGTTTATATAATTTAAAAAATAACCCATTGCAAATTATAATGATAAAATATATAACGTTTTTCTTAGATGTACCACCAGATTGTCAAGCAACAAATTTGACAACAAGCGCTACCAGTACATTCTCATCTACAACACAATCTATATTAACGTCGCCCACTACAAAATTAGTCGTTGGTACAACAGATTCATTAGACAAACCTAAGCCTAAAACAGATATCACAACTATCTCTGACATTGAATCCTCAACCATGCAAGACGCAACCGGGTCAGTGTTGCGGAAGAGGTAAGTTAAATTTCATAGAATTTTATATCAGGATAAATTATTTAAAAACATTGAGATCAATATTGTTAGATTTAATATAATATCAATTTTTATGAAATGAATAGCCACATAAGTCCCTACTTCTTAACCATTTTCAGTATATGAGCAAAAACATACACTCATAATGGTGGTTAAATGAATCTATTTTACGGATTTTTTTTTTGCGCTTTATTTGATTTTTAATTCTACTTTACAATTACTATTAACGTTAGAATAGTTCAAAACGTGGGAAATTAAGAATGAAATTAAAACGCGATGAAATTCGTAAAATAGTTTCATTTAATCATGTGTAATATTCGCTTAAAAACTAGAAATTACTATTGATGTTTAACTATTAAAATAAAGATAAGATAAGATAAGAAAAAACTGGTCTTTTTTTAGAGTATAGTCAATTGTAGTGAAACTTAATTTTGAAAGCATAGGCATGCGATTACAGTTAAATAACATTGCTTTTTTCAGAAGGAGAAAGAAGGAACATGTGCGCAGAGACAGAAATGATATTGTAAGTTTAAAAACCTTGCGAGTAACCTTTAAGCATCAAATAAAACTTTTTTGACGCAGTCGATATCAGTCCAGCCTATTTGTAGCTTAAGAATGTTTTCTCTCCTAAAATGATATTTATTATACTTAATTATTTCTTGAGATTTTTATTTCTTAACTAACATTTACCACTTTTCACATATTTATTAAATAAAATAAAGCTACAGTATAATAAAATGTAAGGTATGTAATTAGTTGAATTTTAAAATATCCTTTACGACAATTTTACAATGTTGATCAATTACACAAAAGATTCTGTAGTGACGATAAGGTGAATTTCAAAATGGCCGCCATACACATTGAAATAAAAATCCGATTAAGTTGATATTGAACATGCTTCTTCGGACATAAGCGAAATATATGAAAATTAAAAATAAAACCGGCCAAATGCGAATCAGACTAGCACACGAAGGGTTCCGTACCAATAATATAGATAACTGTAAAAAGGGCAAAAAAATAATGTCTGTTGTATATATGTAATCATGAGCGGCGTAAAGTCAAAGTCAGTCAGTCTCGTTTTGGTACGGAACCCTAATTACATGATTTGTAACTAGTCTACTAGATCAAACTCCGAACTATGTTTTTCACAATTAAGATTGAAATCAACAGACGTGACGGCCTCTACGTACTTCAAAGCTTACTTTTTAAAGTATTGTTTATATTAATTTTATTGTATAAAAATTATTTATTTATTTATTAGCAAAAATATGTACAATATAAAGAAATGTAAATCTGCACTCATGAAATTAACAACATCCTAGTCATAAACTTACTTTAAAAGAAAATAATAGTAATAATAATTTATTTGTGTTAATTACAGTTTTTTTTTCACTAACAACTATTTAGCCACATAGGAATGGTTCAATAAAACGTTGTGTAATATTTGGAATAAGCTACAATATGTATTATCACTACTTCATATCACCTCAGTCCTCCTTGAAGACTTTACTTCAAAAGATCTCTTATACGTTGCAGCTTCGACGTTTGCGAGAACTGGTTGAAAATGCAGCACCGAATCCAGCGAATAAAATGAAAAAAACACGGGTAGATCCACTCGAGAACTTAGAGAGGGACTCCGTAGATGACTTCGAAGAAGCATTTCCCATGCAACAAATGATTAAACAGGACTTGCACTCAAACACAAATGAGAAAGCAGAATCAAAACAAGAAGATAAAGCAAATTTCAAATATTTATCAGAACTAATTCATAGAATTCACCTTAATGACACAAAAACTCCCGCAGGAATGATCGTCAAACCAAGTTTTCAACAAAACAAGCCGTTTATTGATTACAAAAAGAATACTCGAGTAAATAACAAACGTCCTAAAATTGTTGAGCCCACTCGAAGACTTAATTATGAAATGGATATGCCCCACGATCCAAAAAAAACCGACAACTCGTTCTACACTAATCTTGGTAAACAAATTGCGACTCTAATAAGAAGCGTTGACGCGAAAAGTGATAGGCAAATCGATATCGAAATAGAACACATGGATAAAAATGTTCTAAACCATCCAATGTTTAGTGAACTTAGTTACGCGCCGCATTCGTACTGGGAAAGATTTGCTAGATCACCTATTAATTACCTACAACAATACCAAGACAAAATAGAATATTTTAACAAAAGTAATGAACTACTTTACAATATTGAGAATAAAGTTGAAATGGCAGCATCAACGATATCACCAATGAGTTTATTAGAAATAGAAAATATTATCAATGTTATAGAAAGACCTATTCATGGTATTCAAAAAGATTTAGATTTTAAAAGGAATCATAGTTCTCATACAACACTTAACATTAATTTATGGCCCCAAGTACCTCAAAAAAACGCTTTCTTAAATGGTGCTAAAACGATTATTCAACATCATCAACAGTATTTAAACTACACAAATTCACCAGAAAGTCATTTTACAAACGATCCAAAAATGATTTCTTTACAAAACAAGAAAACATATCTAGGCACAGAACATAGCCTCGATAACAATTCTAGTAGAAAAATACAAAACTCAAACATCTTCATTAAGAACGAAATTCCCAATTTTAAACCACATGAAATCAAAAGTAACGTGATTTTGCCAAAAAGACAACCAGTATTGATACCTCACAGGCAAACGAATACACATCTTGCGTCGCTATCTCCATTATTCGACTTCAATATTAAACAGTATCTCAATGTAAACGGTCAGTACCCATTCTACAATAATATACTAAAATTAAATTTCCCTATTCTTGAAGAAGCTAAACCGCTTTTTAGGACTGCTGCCCCTTCGTACTTTCATCACGAGCTACATCATTTTGATTTCATCGATTAAAGTTATTCAATGTTTTGGTATATTCATAAATATCATCAAAATTATCAACATGCTTTCCTAAAGAGGTACTATTTATTTCTACAAAAAAAATAAAAAGATATGATATTTAAATAATAATTTATTTTAGAATAACATTGGTAAAACATGGATGATACGATTAAGTTCTACAGAATACCTATGTTCATCATAATAAGATGGCAATTCGACGATTGTGCAATGCAACACTCCACCGATTTACGATAATACGTCGTATCACATACCATAAATGAAGCCGAGATTATGCGGCGGCTCCGGTATACGGTGTGCCAAATTATGATATCTGCTGCAAATACTTGCTTTGTATTAGTTTTGTACCACAATGTTAGATTTATGTAAAATTTTACTATGGTTTAAAGCGTACGTCATGAATAGAAAACCATAGTACCACATGTGAAACTTAGAATATAAGAGAAAAAAAGTTTAATCAAAATTATTGGTTTGTTTGATTGTATTAGTGTATTTCATAAGGAAAGGTTTCTCATTCATTTTATATCTTTGCTCATATAAGCTCACAATTTTTATCCGCAATGACTGGAAATTATAACAGACTAGCGACCCGACCCGGTTTCGCACGGGTGCAATGCTGATACTAAATATAGTAGATATTATTAATGTATTATACATATAAACCTTCCTCCTGAATTACTCTATCTAGTAAAAAACCGTGTCAAAATCCGTTGCGCATTTTTAAAGATCTAAACATGAATAGGGACAGACAGCAAGACGTCTTTGTTTTATACTATGTAGTAATTATGATTGAATTTGGTGGACTTTTAATCATATATACATATACAGATATCTAACATTGATATAAAGACAATCACGGACTTGCTTATGCAGGTCCACAAAAATCGTTAAAAATAACTTTGTAGTCAGAAAGCTACAGCTTATTATTATTTCTATGGTATAGAGTTTTTTGTTAAAATCTAATAATTTACATGTTCTCCGTCATAATTAAATTTTCTCTTACAAAGTTGGTCACTAGAGGCATTCGAAAGAAAATGTTTAATACTGAGGCCGGCTTTATTTATGACTTAGTGTATGTACAACTAAATAAATAAAAAAAATTCTGAACGTATTCAAAGTCTTAACACTTTATAAAGTTTTTTTGCCATCGTGCCTGTTTCACCGTGTCTGAATAATTTCGCAAACATTTTAAGACGTTTGATGTTGCTGAGGCGCGCCGTTATGTTTCCTTTGGTAGAAATGTAAAAGTTTTTTTTTATAAAATTATTCTTAAGCATGTCACGGTATTTAGAAGTTTTATAAAATTATTCTAAAGCAGGGAACATTTATACTGTCACGGTATTTAGTAATATACACAGTTCGGATTTAATTTATGGAGCGAAAAAATATTATTGTTGAATCAATCAGTATTATGGGCACAGTAAAGGATAATTATCATCGCAAATTTTTTTAATTAAGACTTCGAAAGTTAGCGATAAATTTCTTTTGGTCTTTGACAAGAATCGTAGAATTCGATCCGATCGCTCTTTACCTTATTTATCCAAAAATATGGTATATTTATGTAAAGATGAATAAATTTGGATTATCAAATTTTCCCTTTCATCATTACATCAAAAAGCAACTAAATCAATTAATAGCGCCGAACGAATCTTAATTGTTGAATATGTAGATTTAATATACGAAAGCACTTTATGATCTGTCGATTTATCTGAAACAATATCAAATTATAACGCTCGCTTTTAACTCCATATACTCGCGGAAGCTAAATATAAAGTTCAAATCCCGGTGCCAGCACCAATGAAATTGTTAATTTTAAATGCTGATATTTCACGTGCTCATCGGTGTCGCTGAGTACTGCGGAAGCCTTTACCCACCAGTGAGACATGTATAGGTTGTACTTCGCTTTCTTTACTCATAGATCATAGAGAAAAAAAAATAATATTCATCTTTAATAATTGTAAGAGCAACTAAATTTAATTAACAGAAATTCATACCGGAATTTTGATTGTTCAAAATATACGTTTATCTAAACGAAATAGTTTTCAAATAAAAAAAAAAAATATTCGAATGGAATATACGAGATTGTGGACATTAAATTAAAGCTTCGTCCTTTGGTAAGTGAGCCGGTGGGTAGCGGGATCACGGCGGTCGAATGTTTTGTCCATCGGACTTTAATGGGTTCCCATCCGCCCCATTTCGCCGACGGACATCCATTTAATTAGTAAAACCCATCTAAATCTATTTGCCGTGGAAAAAGCTCCGCTGGTCGCTTTATAAATATTTCGCTTTCATTTATCGTAAGAATAAAATGACATTTCATGTCATTTAATATTTTATCTCTCCACATAAGTAAAACCGTTAAATATTTGGAATTAAGATCTAAGCAACAATTGAGTTCCCTATTGCTTGTTTATTCTTTGGAAATTCAAAAAGGTATGTAAAACGCTGATTGTGGTTAATGGTCACTATCAGATCATCAAAAATCTTTTCTTCCGGTTTATCGCACATAACAACCGGTATTATAAAAAGGGTTGAGATAAAATAAATTTTAAAAATATTGCACTATTAGGAATTGACCGGATAAATCATACGTGAAAAACCACTTAATGTATTTATTAGATAGAAATCCGGTTACGATACCGTCAGGGAAATTGTTCATGATGGAATAGCAAACCAAATCTGCCAAGGGATTGCATTCCCAGCAAAAAGTAATATTAAATTCGCTCTTACCTCAGGTCTTGGCTGGCTTTTGCAGATTTTCTAGATATATTAACAATTTATTACATTTCATTTTACATTACATCTATCGTGCCTAAAATGAAAAAAAAAACAACAAACACAAACGGAGTTTTTACATTCATTCATTCATATATCCTAGCCGTGTTCGGCTACAGCGACTGTTTACTAATATTGAGAGCGTCGCTGATGCGCTCTCAGGTGACTGATGCTGACTGGTGCGGCCACACTCGCCACAAGTCAGCACCCCTCCGATATAATTATAATAAATAGCCGCAGGTGGTCTGGCCTTCGACTGGTCCCGCTTAGAGTCCTGTTCGTTACGGCGACTAGTTTCAAAGTCGTACACTTTGCTGTGCATCGCTTGCCTCCTTTGTGTCCGATCTCCTGCTAGAGTCTCCCACTTGGATGGTTCAATTTTGGCTCTTTTCATGTGGCGCTTCAGCACATCTTTGTACCGCAGAAACTGCCCACCTTGCTTGCGTTTACCGTTCTGCAGTTCACTGTAAAAGATGCACTTCGCCACTCTGTTGTCAGCCATGCGGGAGACATGTCCGCACCATCGCAGCTGCCGCCTCATTAGATAGGCCTCTATTCCGGCAACACCAGCACGCCGAAGAACCTCCGTGTTTCTAACACGGTCGGACCAGTGGATGCCCAGAATTTCACGGAGGCATCTCAGATGGAAACTATCTAAGGTGCGGATATGCTTGCGATATAGGACCCACGTTTCTGATGCATACAGCAGACTGGGCAGAACGATTGCCATGTAAACAGCTACCTTAGTAAGGAGCTTTATATCATGCGACCGGAACACCCCGAAACGAAGTTTGCCAAATGCTGCTGAAGCGGCTCCTATTCTGCAGTTGACTTCGTTGTCAAGGTGGCACTTAGATGTAATTGTGCTCCCCAGGTACTTAAATTGCTCTACCTGCTTAAGCAAGTCACCCCCGAGTTTAATGTCTATCTGGATTGGCAATTATGTCAAGAACCATTACTTCGGTCTTTTTGACATTTATCTTAAGGCCAAATCTTTGACAAGACTCATCTAGACTCGACATGAGCTGTTGTAGAGCACCTGGGGATTTCGCCACAAAACATAAGTCATCTGTATACATCATCTCAGTGACTATTGCGTGGGACACTTTAGTGCGCGCCTTCCTTCAGCCGAGCTAGGTTGAATATACCACCGTCGGTGCGATAACGAATACGGATGCCCTCAGATAAAGTTTGAAGTTCCTCCCTGACTACTACTGCGAAGTATAAGGCAAACAGAGTGGGTGCAAGGACGCATCCTTGCTTTACACCACAGGTTACGGCGAAAAACTCTGATTGTTCGCCGTTGAAACTTACGCAGCATTGCATATTATCATGCAGTAGTCGGATCATCCTAACAAACTTCTCCGTGCATCCCAGTTTCGCTAGTACCACCCAGAAGGCTTCGCGAGGCACGCTGTCGAATGCTTTTTCAAGGTCCACGAATACATTGGTTGACCTTGTTCTTTACATTTCTCTTGAAGCTGGCGTACAGAAAAAATTGCCTCACAGGTACCTCTATCCGGTCGGAAGCCAAATTGGGTTTCTGGTAAAACTCTCTCCGACAGTGGTATTAGGCGGTTTAACAGAATTCGGGCAAAGACCTTCCCTGAAGTAGTTAGAAGGGATATACCCCTGTAAGAGTTGCAATCCGAGCGGTCTCCTTTATTTTTATACAGGGAGCATATGCGAGAGACTTGGAAGTAAGCAGGTACTCGCTCTTCATCCCACATTTTTGTAAACAGCTTCAAGACCGCTTCGTGGAACTCCTTTCCCCCATACTTTATTAACTCTCCAGGTAAATTGTCAATTCCCACCGCCTTTGTTTTGTTGTTGCTGTATAGCAGCCACGACCTCACACAGTGACAGAGGCTCATCCAGCTTAAGTACTGTAGGCAGTGCCGGTAAAGAGCTAATATGGTGCATATCCGCAGCTCTGTCAACATTTAACAAATTGTTAAAATGTTCTGCCCATCTTTGAAGTATCCCAAGCTTTTCGGTAACAAGCCGAGTGCCATCGGAAGATTTGAACGTCATAGAACTTCGGTTCACTGGGCCGAAAAGCTTGTTAACCTCGTTATAAAATGCACCCAACTGGTTTGTATCGAAAAGCCACTGAATGCGCGCGGCCACCACTTGTTTTTTACTTCCCTAACTTTTCTCCGAAGTAGAGCGCCATTCTGCTTAACTAAGTCTGCTTGATCACTACGATTCAAACGCAACAGTGTCTGATGTTTCCTTAATGCCTCGGTCAGTGCTTCGTCGTTGTCATCAAACCAATCCTCGCATCTACATGGCTTAACGCCAAGTATTTGTGAGGCGGTGTCGACTAGTATGGACGAAACTGACAT